TTTGAACAACTACAGCATTACATACTGTATTATAGTAATAGAAACCCAGTGATTTATTCAAGCAAATCCCTTGATGCAGAAATCTCTTTTAAGTTATGTACTTAAACTATGATTTTCTAAAGGTTAACCTGGATCACTTTAAAAGTGAAGTTCCTGTTGGCTTCTCTGAGAATTGTGAGTTCAGTTTTTCTTATCCTGTCTCCTTAGAGGTTTTCAGTCGTATGTTGTATCAAATTATTAAGACCAACAGTATTGTTAGCTAGAGAGATAATCACTGTTACCTGTTAGTTTTCTAGCTGTGAGTATTCTTGCAGAATTCCAGATGTCATCATTCCTTCCACCTTGTCTTTAGAAGAAGAAAAATTACAGATTGCTTTACATGATGAAAATCCTGGGACGTTGCTTTCCTTCCACAACAGCTCATTTACTGGTCAATCCTCCAGAGAATAGTGCATATTCTTAAAGAAAAATATTTCTTCTTCAAGTCTGTGACGTATCCCAGAGAACAGTCTTCATAAAACCTGCAGGGAATATACGTGATACTTCTTGTTTCAATTTTTGATATATTTTGTACCATATTTGAAATTAATTAAATATTTAAGCTCCTTTATTTAGTGCTGCAGATCAAACCCAAAGCGCAGTAACAGAACAAGACATGTTTGCCCCATGAACTAAAGTGAACCTGAGGAATGCATCTATAAAAGCATAAATTTGTTCAGCATTCGCAGTAACCTGAGAGTCCAGCAAAGACTACCTGTCGCCTTACCAATGAATACCATTTGCATTTTTGTGGTTTCTGTGAGTTTGTGAGGTATGTATAACATTGTAGGTGGTAGTCAGAAGAAGCAGTTTCTTAGCTCTAGTTTTCAATATCCCCAATTACCTTTTTGAAAAACTCTTTCTCTGTTTTGTCATGCTTTCCTACTGTCTCCCAGCTCTGTTCCTTTGTGTAAACGACTTTTGCTCCTCTTGCTGCAGTTGAGTTAAACTGCCATCAAAGATTAATAATCTAACATTAACCTTTCAGATCTTTGGTAACAGATAGGTCATTACTTCTTTTTTATTTTATGATCACGATTCTTTTAGCCCAAGGCTTCTTTCTTTGTAATTCTCTCAAACTTCCAATATTTGGGAAAGTGTGTGAGAGAAATGGAGCGATACTCTGTGTGCAAGGCTCAAAAGCTTACTTACAGCTCTCCAGGATTTCACCACACCCACACCTGTTGCCTGTTCAGCAGTACCAGCAAACTGAGGGCACTTAGTACTTCTGAAGCTACTGATCTACTGCAGCACTTATGACAATGTTTAGTATTTTAATTAAATTACTAGGAATTCTGGAGAAAATCATATGTTGTTAATCTTGTTAAGTCAGCTGAGGTCTGAGTCTTACTGAATACATGAACACACATGTGTGTTTGTTGGCCAAGGATTTGCACCCAGAACGGATGAGAAAAGAGAAGGGGTGGGAGGAAAAACCACTGACCCAGTTAAAACTAATGCATCACAACAAAACAACAACAACAACAATAATACTAATAATGTGCAGTTGTAACCAGATCAGACTTTTGATCCAACTGTCTAGTTCATAAGAGCAGAACCAGCATCACAAGGAGAGCACACAAGAAATCCATGCTGTAAGGCCTTTTTGATGTATATACTTATTTGTGTCCATGTGGAATTACAAGACAAGATTAACACCCTTTGTCTTTGAGGCTGCATGATGTAGAACAGCAAAGTGCTTTCTGCAGGCTGAAAATGGGTAAACATGTGGTTATTGTGACTCAGAAGTGTGATCACTTGCTGTGCTGTGGTAACATGGCAATATGCCATAGCCCTGGGAATTTCTTGTGGGTATCCAGTTCATCACTCTGCTTTTGGGAAGGCGAGGGGTAGGAGGCTATCATCTGCTGGCACCAAACTCCCATGTGAGCCTAAGATCGGGCTGGTTCTCAGCTACACTGCTCCTAAGTACACCATTTGTGGCAGCTTCTGCATCAAGACGAGGCCGTCCTTTAACCAAGCTGCGCACAGAGGGAATCTGTCTGCTGCTGTTCTGCAGTGAAGCCACTAGAGGGAAGTGTCAGAGTGCTCTCGCCTTGCCTGCTCACCGCCTCTGAAAACACGGTGATTATCAGAGCTTTGCTGCTCTATTACACCTGTAAGAAAGGCACTCAGGCTGTGTCATTTAAAATGCTCTTTATTAGAGCTAAAACTATAAAATGAGAATAGGATAGATAATCTTAAATTCCTTTTAGATGCTAGGAGCCCGGAGCGGTGTAGCATTGAGCAGGATGCCATTCCATGTGCAGGATGGACACACTCTGCATAGGGAAATTTTGTTTCAGGAATTTAAGTTTTAACTACCAATTTCACAAATGACAGCACAGTTCTGATAAATGTTATCTTCGGAATTCCATCATTTTGAAATTCTAAATGAGTCCTGGTAGTGATTTTTGAGATTGTTTTTTGTTGAAAATAAGTGTCTCGCTAGAAAATTTGATCTAAATAAAAATGAAGTTGTTTACTCATCTCTGTCTGAACTTCAGCTCGTTATCAAGACAAGAACCATCTGGAAAGTTTGAATGCCAGAATAAATAAATAATTTCAAGGATATTTGAAGTGTTCATCAGAGTAATTTTTAGTTTGGTATATTGCTGGAAATTGCTTTCCTAAAATACTTGAAAACACATAATTAGCAAGTTTTATTCAGCAATATTTTAACCATTGTTAGTATTTTCTACAAATATTGCATATTTGCGTATTTAAATTATTATTATTTTCAAAACATTAATAAAAATGCTTGTATTTACCAATATCTACAGTGATCTTGCTCATAAAACTTTGAAATATCTTTATTTTCCCTCTGTTTGGCAGTAGAAGTTATTACTGAGTTAACGAATGAAATGGAAACATGTAGCTTAAGGGACCATCTGAGCACAGCCAACACAACAGAAATAAATCTGTAAACATAAAGTTACTTAATAAATTTAATTTCAACCAGTAGAAATTACCTATTTTTTTTCAGAGTAAGAGATCCTTCTAAGAGTAGAAGCCAATGAACTGTTATTGCACTAGGCAGTCAAGTGACAGTAGGCAAAATTGTGTTTATCTATGCTAGACTGAGTCTGTCTATATTAATAAACTTACTGTTTATTACGAGTTTATAATAAACTCATTATGCATTGTTAAGATGCAATGTTAAGATGTTAATGCAAATTATGTGACTGCATATAACTTACAAAGAGAAAAAGGAGCAAATGTAAAGCAAAGATTATTAGATTTGAGATGACCATCTGGCTTTATTTAAATCTGTTTCTGATTTTCTTTCTATACAGAGAGTTGCAGATAGATGTGGAATATGTGTTACTCACTAAAATGGCAATCCTTTCTCTTTACCATGGTTCATACATTTATATTGATAAACGGTCCTCAGTGGTTGGCTTTTTAAAATTTCCAGTGCTTAAATGCAGAGGTGGTAATTTGCTTCTCAAATAGCTGGGATAGATTGTTGAATCAGTTAATAACCAGCCATTCCAATCTGTCCATCTTTAATTCAGGATTCCCAGACCAGCTTCTTGCACTTGACTACTGTCCAGGAATTCTTTCTTAACTTGGTGATAGACAAGTAGCTATAAAAATAATGTGTGATCTTTACAGTCCTTGAATCATGATATTAATGTCATGTGAATATTTAACAGTCCTATTAAAGAAAATAGGATCAGTCTGGTAATCTTTTGGCTGCTGTAAGGTCTAACAAGTTGTAATCCTTAGTTTCCCTGCCAGCAAATTCCTCATTAAGCACAAGATATCCTAAAACAAATCAACAGTAAACCCAAGATGTTAATATATGTAAAGTTCTTTGAAGCAGATAATTCTAGCCAAAAAAGGCTTTTTTTCCCTCTTCTTTCTACCATGTAGCCAAGCTGAAATACTCTAAAGACTTTCATATATTGAAACTTATGATTTCACTGTGAAATGATTATAGTGAAGTACAGGAAGACACAACACAAATGAGGTTTAGAATTTCACTACAAGCATAAAATTCCAACCTAAAATATTTGTATTATTTTATACAAATATCTCTTTAATTAGTGAATCCAAAGAGATTTTTAAATTGATCTACAACCCCTTTCAAGATGACATGGGCACACAGTGCATTTTTTTAAATGCAATTTTGATGCAATAAATAGTGAAGTCCAAGCATTTTGACTAAGATTCTTAATGTCAGTTTGGGCTGAGAGCCAGAATTTCAGAGAAAATACAGGGAAATATTCAGGAGAGCTGAATCATAACTGAAGTTCTGTGTTGGCTGTGACTTTAGTAAACAGAAATAGACATGAACACATCTATGTCTTTATTGTACCAGCATGGCTAGGCAGAGGTCTTGTTCCACCTGTATATGTAGCAGGACACTTCTCAGGTAGAAGCTGTGCTATACCTCCAGGGACTGAGAAATTGAGTCATAGGATCTAATACAATTCAGGTTGAAAGAAACCTCAGGAGATCACCTAGTCCAACCTCTCATTTTACAGTTTATCTTACATAGGTGACCTTTTCTTGCCTTGGAGTTTATACCCCTCTCCTCCCCCCAGACCCAGCTACATCTCTGTGTTTATTTCCACAGTATTGATTCATCTGCCTAAGGGTCAGATGCTGCCCAGACTCAACAAGGCAGTGAAATCAAATCCTCCCATTGCTTTTCCAGCTTTGAGCTGACAGGGGCACAAACTTCAGTGGTCTGGGAGCAGAGCTGCCCCTAAAACAAGCGATGACTTTTCAGAGAGGTTCAGCAAAGGTGCAGAGGGCTGTGTCCACCCTGCACTGAGAAGTGGGGTAGCAGAGAAAAGGGGAGGAGGAGGCAGAACGGTTGCAGCAGCTGGAGTTGCCAGGATCAGTTTGCCTAGCAACCCCCCTTCTTAGGCAAGGGCATCTAATTCAGTAGCAATAGCAACATCAGAAGCATCCCTGACACTTGGTGATCTGGGTGTGTGTTAGGGAGCATGACAGCTGTCAAAACACCAGCCTTAGGGCTCCGAAGCATCCTCAGTTTATTGGTAGGTAAACTACATAGATCTGCTTACCAAAACTTATTCCTGTGGTCTGTGCATATGGAAAGAACTGTATATGGCTTATTGTAGTGAGACAGCTATTTACACCAGACAATTGTTGAATGTTATTTTAGTAATGTAGAAAACAGTAATAGAAGAGTATATTGAAAAAAAACCAAACAGTTGTGTAATTCTATCGTATGCCATGAATACTGTTGTAATTGTATAAGCCACTAGATGATTATCCTCCAAAAATATATAGAAAAACAATAGCATATTATATGAATAGAAGCTATTACCTTTTACTAGGAGTGGAGTAAGACCAGGGTGCACTATCATAACATACTCTGTTCATATATACCCTAGAGTGTGTATTTTAATACATATTAATATATCTATTATAATGTATAATATATGTACAGATATAAAATTCTGCTACTCTTGCAGTTCGATCTGTATGCTATTATGATACAGTATTCTACCTGTAAAAGGCTTATGCAATATTAATATATCTATAATTATGTATTTTAACATTTATATAATTAACAGTTGTATTGTCTTATAACAAAAAATTACTCATTCAATGAGTTTAGATGTAAAAGATTAAAAGAAACTGAGCAGTTTGGAGGAGGGGGGTTATGTCATTTTAAAAATAAACAAAAAAACCCTCTTTAAATTAAAAGTCTCTCTACATGTGATCCTAGAAACACCTGCTCTTTGCAGAGACTTTTTCCAAGAGAAGGATTAGCTAAATCCCCTCATTGTTTCATGGGTAATTTCTGGCTAGATTAAAATAATATACTAATATAGTTTGTATACCCCTAGGAAACTGTCATTTTTTGCTCCATAAATTGAAGAGAGCAAAATATGCCAGGCTATGTTTCTGTATTTGTTCTGCTTTCTTTAGAAGAAATACAAACTTTGAAGATGGAACTGATCCTTCCCCTGTTTCTATACTGTTTGCTAGAGTCTATTCATACGCTTTTTTTCTTGCAGGTGATATTAGTGGAGGGGTGGCATGATTTAGATAACAAAGACTATGACTGTTGGCCCCTGGAAAAACCAGATGAGTATAACATGCTGGACTGTGGAGGTGAGTGAAAGCTGCTCAGGATAAATCATCTCTTGCTTGGGGAATGGTTGAAAACCCAAAATTGAAGTACTCTGCACCTAACTTATGATGAATGTTATGCATGGTGGAAAGCATCTGAATCACTAACTTCTTTTTCTAGAGAAATAAGTGAAAGAAAACAACATTATTTGTCCAGCATTCATTGATTCCAGAAGAAAAAGTAATAGCAACAGCTGAATCCCTTCCCTCAGACAGAAACATTTTATTTCTCATTAGAAAACCAAATGCAACTTAATCTAAACAAAACAGGCAGGCAGCTCTGCATTGCAGCAAATTCTATTGAGTCATTGCTGAAAATTTGTAGTGTCAGTTCAAAAGTGGACTGTGATTAAACCCTCCAGTCAGTAAGCAAAATCATTGATTCTAAGCATCATGCTTTTCCACCTTGCTCAAAACTGTGTTCCATGGGTACTTAAAAAAATCTGAGCTCTTTAACCAATTATTCCAGTCAGTTTAAAAAAAAATCAATTAATATTATGAGATAATTAAAAAAATTCTTTATGTTAGAAATCTGTTGAGATTGAAAAATAATTAAATAGCAACTGAAATATGGCAAGTTCAACTTATATGTAAGAAAAATCTTATACTATAAGGTTTATCATACAGTAGAACAGGTTGCCCAGAAACCAGTTATGGTTTCTCCATCCTTGGAGATTTTCAGAACCCAACTGGACAAATTCTAGACCAACCTACTTTAGGTGACTCTGCTTTGAGGAATACAAGGTTGGGCCAAATGATTTCCAGAGGTGCCTTCCAGTTTCAGCCATTCTGTGAATTTTGTGGCTCTGTAACCAATAAACAACTGATGTAAAGGTACACTTTTGTTTATGCCGTAAAAGATAAGACCAGAAACAATGTGTTTCAATAGAGTTTTTAGAAAAAAACAAGAACACTTGAGTAACAAATATTGATAAAACCCTTCAAGAAATACACTGCTGGGTCGCACTCTGAGCTCATTACAGTTAAATGTTTTTGAAACAGTGAAATTCAAAGTCTATCTAGATGATTGTCCATTAAGACTTTTATCCCTGTATGAATTTACTATTGCTTTAATATTGAAACAACTATTTATCAGAACAGACGACTTGTTTAAGATATTCTTACTAATAATCAACGTGTGAACTGAGTACAAGGGAAACTAATATGAGTGGGTTTTAATTAACATACACCCTTCACAACCAGTTTTAGAATGAACTCCAAACTCTATCCCGAGTTACTCTGTGGTTCATCCTTGTCCTCTTCTGGACATTGCTAAAAGCAAAGCAGGAGGCGTATACTGTAGCCCTATAGCTGTGGATTTAACACAAGCTCTTTCTTCAAAGAATTTAGATGTGGAATTATTTATTGCTGAAAGTCTTGTTTATCTTTGTGAGAACTTTAAAGAGAAGTAGAAAGTAATTTAACTGAAATTTATGCTGACCTTTTGCCTTCATTCTCATAGATTGTCTGAAGCTCAGCTCTCTTACCTTTTAGTGCAAATCACACAAGTGTTTTTTTGTAAATCTTTGCATTGTAGTTTCTCTCATAGTGTTAGCATTAATAATGTGCTTATTTTTCAAGGGAGATGTGAAATCAAGAGGTTATTTTACAATTTGCTTCTTTATAACTGAAAGGGAATTATGTTTAGGGGAGAAAATAGCATCTTCACTAAGTGCAAGTGAAGAATACACCTGTAAAAACAACTCCAGAGTAATAAAAGAGTTTATTATTGAACAACAACAACATAAAAGGTGAAGACCCCTTGAAGGGCAGGTTTACCTATCCCCTGCAGAAGGGATTTAAAACTTCCCGACAAACTGAAAGCTACACACTTGCATGATGTAAGTAATTTGATGTCTTGTGAATTAAAACCTTCATCCAACAATATGGAAAGATCTGTTCTAGATGTGATACGGTTTCATGAAACGAGAATGCTTTCTTAAATATATAATTATTAGTGTATATAATTTATGTCTCATTACATTAAGGGTTTTGACTAAATTTCATGTTTGCTGCAGTTATCTGTTCTTCCATATTGAGGTCTGCCTCAGTGAAAGCATACAAAAATGAAGGGAAATGTTTGTTGCCTGATCACAGAGGAAAGCAAATATACCAGGACAAGCAGCACTGCATTTTACTGGGAGAAAAGTTAGTCTAGATAAAATGACCAGATTCTTTGTCATATTTCTCCAATTGCTTGATCTTTTCTAACTGCGTGTCAGAATTTATCAGAATTTGGATTTGTGTTTACCTATATAGCCACTAAAATGGATTACTGTTTTGGGCTCATAAAAAGTGGTAGGAACAATAGATGAAAATCACTACAGAGAAAGTTTTACATTTGTATGCATCAGTAAAGCAGAAAATTATGGCAAATGTATAGCTCATGATTGTGTTGGTTTTAGGCCTGGAGATGGCATGGGTGCAAAGGCCTCCAGAAAAGGCTGTGAGTGGGGAATTCTTCAATGTGACCTATGCAGTCTTTGCTTCAGACGGCTTTTATCAATATGCAGTGCAAAATGGAATCCTTTCTCACAGGTATTACCTCCTATAAAAATGCTTTCATGATCATGAGTATATGGGGATTTTGTGTGTACATTTTCAGTGACATAACAGGAACACATACTCTGGGGCTCCTTGCTAATTCCTGCATCTCTTGAGGTCTCTTATAGCTCTGCTTGCAGTGGTATTTTCCCTCCTGCAATGGCTCTGTTCTCAGAGCAGCCATCATGGCATGCTTGTCCACATGGCCAAGGTTAGGGCATGTCATCCTGTGTCTGCATTACTGTCTCAGTGCAGCTCTGATCTGCACAAGGAATCTACAACTGAAGTTTAAGCATGATTCCCAAACTAACTGTGCCTTATAGTCATTTTAATCGTGTATTTGAAGTACACACCATGGATATGAAAAAGAGGCTGGCCCAACCCTGAATCCACTGAATTCAGTGATGAACTTTTTGAATTTTGTAGGATTTAAATCAGTCCAAAAGCTTATATGTATCAACTCAGAGACTGTGTTGGTAACTGTAGACCACAGAGGTTAAATACAGAATGATTATATGTACAACTCCACATCACTAAAGGCCTAATACACCCTCATTTACACTTTTGTCTGTACATAGCAGTTCTCCATCCACATACAGTGATGTCTGGGACAGAGGTTGCAGCTGTATTTTTGTGCTTGGATAGTGTAAGAGACATGTTTATGGATAAAACTCACATTTTCTTCTGCCAGTCTGAGTGTTCACATTGCAAAGGTCAGATTGTAGAAGCTGTTATCCAGAGATATTTTTTTTTCATATTGAAAGACCTATGATCCTATGGCAAGAATTTGATACTGTATTTTGATAATATCTGTACTATGGTTGCAGTTTTGCAAAATTTGTTTATCACATTTTCTGAAATAAATGACTATTAATAGTTCCAAGAACTTAACCATATAGCATATTTTTTCACTGCTTGGAAGTGAATCTGTTTTTCTAGTCTTTCCAGGGAGCCACTCCCTTAAAACAGTAAGGAATTTAGAAAATTCTGCTCTTTGTGTCCTTATACATATCTTGCACATAGAGACAGATGGAAAATATTTTAAAAGAGAGAAAACTCTGCTGCCATTTTTCAAAGGAGTCAAATTTGCACCTCATTGTAACTAGAACACTAACTGGTTGACTCTTAAACTTACAGTGGCTGACCCAAATATGGCTGAGGCTGGCAAGACAATGTATAGATGTCAGCATAATTAGGTGAAGCCATGATGAAGATATTGAATAGAAAAGATAGAATACAGGATAAATTGTAAAAAGCAGACATAAACATGTGATAAAATTAGGCACCGACTTGCTTAAGTACTTTTTTTTAACTCCCAGCATGAGCTCAAAGGCCAAGAGATTTTAATATTTTTTTCTGTTTAGATCTCTTGGGAATTGACAAATTTGCTTAGCTCAGGTTTCACATATGTCTATGCATTTGTAAATCTGGCCGTGAATACAATCTATGTCAACCTGATCCTCTATGTTTGTATTTATTTCTTATAATAGAGTTTTCTGTCTTAAATCTATAATACTCATTACTGACTAGTTCTTCCTTCATTAAAAACAAACTGAAAAATAAATTCTGGTGTTCTGGCATTGTTTCATAGAGATCCATCACAAGTGCATAATATTGATGCGGGGATCGAGTGCACCCTCAGTCAGTTTGCAGGTGACACCCAGTTGGGTGGGAGTGTTGATCTGCTCGAGGGTAGGGAGGCTCTGCAGAGAGACCTGGACAGGCTGGAGCCATGGGCTGAGCCCAGCTGGGGGAGTTTCAATAAGGGCAAATGCTGGGGGCTGCCCTTGGGCCACAACAACCCCCAGCAGCGCTACAGGCTTGGGGAGGAGTGGCTGGAGAACTGCCAGTCAGAGAGGGACCTGGGGGTGTTGATTGACAGCAGGCTGGACGCGAGCCAGAAGTGTGCCCAGGGTGCCAAGAAGGCCAATGGCATCCTGGCTTGTGTCAGCACTGGCGTGGCCAGCAGGGACAGGGAAGGGATCTGACCCCTGTACTCGGCACTGGTGAGGCCGCCCCTCGATGACTGGGTTCAGTTTTGGGCCCCTCACTCCAAAAAGGACATTGAATGACTCGAGTGTGTCCAGAGAAGGGCAACGGAGCTGGTGCAGGGTCTGGAGCACAGGTCGTACGAGGAGCGGCTGAGGGAACTGGGGGTGTTTAGTCTGGAGAAGAGGAGGCTGAGGGGAGACCTCATCACCCTCTACAGCTCCCTGAAAGGAGGGTGCAGAGAGCTGGGGATGAGTCTCTTTAACCAAGTAACAAGTGACAGGACAAGAGGGAATGGCCTCAAATTGCACCAGGGAAGGTTTAGACTGGATATCAGGAAGCATTTCTTTCCAGAAGGGGTTGTTAGGTGTTGGAATGGGCTGCCCAGGGCAGTGATGGAGTCCCCATCCCTGGAGGTGTTTAACAGTTGGGTTGACATAGCGCTGAGGGATCTGGTGTAGTTGGGAACTGTCAGTGTTAGGTTATTGGTTGTATTGGATGATCTTCAAGGTCTTTTCGAACCTTGATGATTCTGTGATTCTGTGATTTAAACTAAACCCTATAGCTAAGTCTGGCTATATCTACCAAGTTCCACGTGTTTGTGGAAAATTATTTTATTTTGAAGCCAGATTTATTAGAGTGGTAACTAACTGAAAGTGTAACTGAGGAAACAGTGGGGAAAAGTGTTACATCAGACATTTCCAGATAACTACATTCATCTTTCAGGGATGAACTTTCAAAAGGCCCACCTTCTTTTGCAGAACTGTCTATTCATAAAGTCCACATTTTGCTCTAAAATTTTGGTTTGAAGTACTGAAGTATCTGATACTGTTGTCCAATATAGTTATTTTCCTTGACTGTTTGGGTTGTGAAGTGAAACCTGGAGTTGAATGATATGTATGTATCACATACATAGATGAAGGTACATAATTGAAAACACTGAGAATGAAAATAGCCAGGGACACATATTTCTGATAGTGGAAGTAGAGTAATTCTATCTTTTGTGCTATATGCAGCAGTGCTGAGTAATCCCATCTGATCATGAATGGGGAGAGAAGTGGAGGTTGGTGGCCGCTTGCAGCATAGTATCTGTCAGAAGTCCCTGCTGGATAGCAGGAGAGAGTGGTCCAGCTGGCAGCAATCTTGATTGCTCTAGGAGCACTTCAACCAGAAGCAAAACAAAACAGAAAGAAATGGTGTAACTGTTTATTTCACTGCATATGTTTTTGCTGCTAATTTTTCTGTGCAGGATAAAGAACAGGCTCTCCTGTGCTTGTTGCAATTTGGGTGAATCAGGAATGAATATAAAAGATTCTCTCTCTCTCTCTGCTGCTTGACTAGCAATGCTACTGCTGCAAAGAAATTCTGCGAGGAGCATGAATGCCCTGCCAGCTGGAAAGATGCGAATGGGGAGAACTGCTGTGTCTACCATGCCAACATTCACTCCTGTCCTTTAGCCTTCATGGTTAGTATAAAGGTGCAAGCATCATGTGCTCTGTTCTTGCTACTGGATTTTAATAACCGGGTTCAAGCTTACAATTAGACCAAATCTATAGTTCACTAAAACCACTGTGGGGATATCTGTCAGGTTTAGATTTGTTTTGCACTGGATGCTGAGACTGCAAAGCACACGGCTGGATTTTTGACGTCAGTATTCAGAATCTCTCATGATTAGTGGGGCCAGTTTCATCTCTTTGAGATTACTTGACTCAGAGCTCTGTATACTCAGTAGAGCCAGATCATTTCATTCTAAAGCAAGCAGGGCAAATTGTCGAAGGTGTTACTGTCTCTGCAGCTTATAGGGGGACCCTTAGTGATTTTCTTGAACTACTGCAGTCAAGTGGGGTGAGTATCAGTGGCTTTGACTTGTAGAACAAGCCTGTATACACATGTTTTGAGATGGAATGATTTTTCTATTTTAGATCAGAGGAAAACAAGGATTCCAAATACAGGATAACAAAATTTGTTAATTCATTGTAGGCAGGATCCATTCTTAACTTGTTTCCTTGGCTCATTGTAAGAGCCTGTACCTCTCTGAATGACCGTCTAAAGTTCTGACTCTAACAGTACAGTTTGGTTCACATTTTAAAATTTTTATCTGTGAGGTAAGCCTTACCCTGCATAATAACCTTCATGTATTTCCCCTGTCTTTCCAGTTGATCTCCCTTCTGGCAATCTGACACATTCTTCCTGATCAAAGATGGTGTAATAGAAAATCTAATCTACATGTCTTGTGGCTATTTCATGTACCCTTCTGTGTGAAGGCTTACTGTCTCCACAAGAGCTCTAGCTTACTTCTTGGCAGTCTCTTCTTAAGGAGCTGTTTTACTAATGACTCCCTATGGGCCTTAGCTAATACTGGGACTTTGATTTAAAAGAGGAATCCCCAGTGGAACCATCACATCAAAACTTTTGTCTAGAACCATAGTAAAGAACCTCTGCATTCCATCACTGTGGTGACCTCTCCATTATTTCTTACTCTCACAATTATTCTGCTTGGAAAAGGTGAAAGCATGTAGCCAACATGCATCATCTGGCTTCCTTGTAGTACTGTAAATATTTCAGTTCCTGCTTAGAAATCTAAGCAGGTTGCCTGCCATGCAGAAAGAAGGCCATGAATATAATTGTATAAGATTGAAGATACATTTCAAAACAAGCTTTTTCCATTATTCAAGAGAAGGTTTTGCTGGTGGTGGTTTTTTTTCAGAGTCATGACTTTTAAAACATTTTATCGTGGTTAATGTGAACTCCATTTCTTTTAATTTGGTCTGTGTCTTACAGTGCATTGAAAGAAATGTGCGAAGAAATATCTGGAGTCAGGAGACAATCTTTTCAAACAAAAAAATGCAAGATCTTAAGACAGTCAAAATAATCCTCTGTGGTTGCAGTTTCTGGGAGGTTTACATCTTAACAGTTTTACTGAGAAATGCTCTGCAAATATGCACAGAAGAGATGCCTTCTTTCCTCATTAAAGAAAAAAAAAAAACCCAACTATCATATCAAAAAGGAAACTGCCATAAAATCCCTTTAGAAAAAGTATAAAAAGTGGGATATGATTCTGTTTCTGGTTCTAGTACAGCAAATCTTGAAAAAATGTATTAACTTCATAGAATTAATGCAGTTCAAATTTGGGACCACATTTTGACTCATGTCTTAAAATACAACAATTGTGAGATTTTAACTCAGTATAGGAACAATTACTTCTCTCTTATTTTATCACAAAACAGTGTTGCTTGTGGTTTGCCATTTTTATAGATTTGGTTATGAAATATCACTTTATTTGCTGGTAGAGAACATGAGTCATTTTAAGAAAGTAAAAGAGGAGGATCTAGGATTTTCATTGTGTTGTGGTTTACTGACATAACCAATATGTCTGATAAAGGGTAGAGGAGGAATATGTGGTCCATGGATCCCAGATGATGGCCAGATATTTACTCATACTTTGTCTACAGCTGGCAAAATGAGCCAAAGAAACTGGACTGCCAAGGTAAGGTGTATTTATTTCATATAGGATTTCACCTGGTTGGCTCTTTTCGGAGCTTACTAACTACTAGTTTAGTGCAGTTCATGTACATGTTCCCTATCTCATTTATTTGTCAGTTATTTGTGTTAATGATACTTACAGCTGAGTAATATCAATTCCCAACTGACTTGACTTGGAAGTAACAGTTTTTGACACTACTCCTTAGGAAGTTAGTAGATGTAATGGGGTGGGAGGGAAGAGAATAGCCTAATCTGTCAAATGGACAGATAGCCTACACTAACATATTCCACTACTGACTGGACTGTGTGGCAGGTTAATATGGTCATTAGGGGGCTTCTACCCAGGAGAAGTAACAGGGAAGCAAACCTGGCAGAATGCATAGGCTGATAGCCCTGCCTGGTGAAAAAAATACATACCAAGAGGGGAATCAGACCTGCCTTTCCCACAAGAGTTTTCTTCTCTGCTTCTGTTTGTTTCCCCAATCAAGGACTCTTGTCCTTACTGATTCTGAAAAAAATGCACATATTCTTTTGCAAGACAACATATTGGGACAATGGTTGATATAATAGCCTACTGTATGCAAGTGAAGTTTTGATATTTGCTGCTTTGTTCACTTGTTTGGCAGGTGGTTTTAGTTCATGTGGGTGTGACTTCTCTCATTGCACACATCAGAGTTGGAAGAATGCAAGTTGCTCTGGAGGCAAAAACCACAGTCCTTCCTGCAGTAGGTATGACACAAAATGAAGATGTGAGGGAATTGCTTATTAACTGCAAATCTCAATGCTTTTAACCCTCATGCATGGTTACCAAGAGCAAAAGGGATTCCTAGCCCCTCTTATCATTGAAAATACACAAAGGTCATCCTAAGATCTTTTTCACATAACATTGAACATCTGAAAAAGTGTTTGAGCCTCTAACCTGTGTATGAATCTAGAACAGTAGGAAGCCACTCTTGTCAAACAGGTAGAGTCAAATACCGTGACCAATGGCTTCAGGTACTACAAGGCTTGTCTGCAGTTGATGGGGATGTGAAATTATGAGGATTTGGACACTTCATCTGAAGGGGAACAGACTATCCTAAGCATATTGAAAATGTAGAAAGCCATCTTGGTCTCCTTGTTCCCACTTAAAGTCAATTGCTCCCAAAGGCATCCGTCTTTTGTTTACTTTAATCTAGCTGTATGCAGAGAAGCAGAAATAACTAACAATTCTCTTAGCAACCTAAAATGTTAACAGTGGACTTTATTTAATAAATTAAACATACAACCTGAAGAAAAATATTGGGAAAACAGGATTATTATCACAGTACTCGTTAGCTACTCTTTTGGGCATTTGAACATGTATTTCCCAAGGTTATGAAAAAAAAAAAAAAAAGGACCAAAGCAATTCCAATGTGGATGCAAGCGTTTATCCATAGAATTTGCTATTCAAGAGAGCTGCAGCTGACCTTTCCAGGAAACTTGCAATTTATCAGGAAAGAAATTTTTAAAATGCAGGTCATCCCCTAAGGCAGGAAGTAACGTCTGTGATTATCCTGGCATTATACTGGAATTAAATGTACTGAGGCAGAATTATTACTGAGCAGTGGATTTTGTTTTGTTGAGCCTTTTTTAAAAAAAATATATTACATAGTAACAGAATAATACCTTCAGCCCATCTCAGAAGGCTGAAGTACAGCATGGTACTAGTTTAGTGATAGAGGTAAAATTGAAACAGCATTCAGGACATGTGAGAAGGAGTTTTGTCCTTTAGGGCATTTGTTTTAAGTCACATCTGATACTGCTGATAATTTTTATAAATCCTTGGAGAAAACAAAGTCCTTGAAGTATGGGTTACAAGGTTTCATTCTGCAGTACCCAGTGTCTTCTGCTAGTGCTGAGGAAGGGTCATTGGCTTCTGGGGATATTAAGGGCTGGATTAAGTACAAAGAATACAAAAGACAATGTCTGCCTTGAGGAACTTTAAGTATCAGAAAAAAACAGATGGACAATGAGAAACAGTGATGAAGTGATATATATACAAAACATACCAAAAGCTCTGATGCCATAAACAATTTAATATGATCAGAGAGATTCTGTATCACTTCAAAAATTCAGATTATTCTTTCAGCTGCTGGGATGCTGCCTAGATTCTTCAGAATTTATTCTTTCTGGTACTTTTAAGTTTCCCAGCTCAAGAACCATGTGTTTAAATCTGACTACAACATCATGAATTATGAAACAGCCTTAAAATATTCTGATTTGTGTTTCCTTTTCTAATCAGTCTGTGGAGATGGCTTTTGTGAGGAAGAAGAAGGCTGCTCTATCTGTCCGGCAGATTGTGGGGAATGCCCACTGTCTGCTGATGCTAGGATAGCAATTGCCTTACCAATATGTTTAGTCTGCACTGGCTTCATTTTGACAGTCATAGTAAGTATCCTTTCTCTAGTCTTCTATTTCTTTACTCTTACTTCCATGATTTGGTTAGTTAGAGTGGAGCTCTCTTTTAGCAGAGGGATAGATTTTCTTCTGCATCCAGAACCTATGTGCTATGGAAGAAAGCAGAAGGAAGGCAAACAACTTTTGGCTTCCTTACGAGGGGAGGCTTATTGGTCTAGGAATTTCCATCCTGTAAGAGAGAAGACTGAAGAGGAATGCAACAGAAGAATGGATATACAGTGCTAAAAGAAGAAGAGGTTTTTCACAACATGGGAACTAGGGCATGCCAGTAAATTAAGAGTACTTTTCACTTGCAATAAAACTCTTCTGTGAAATAAACTGCTTCAAAACCCTATGGAGGCCAGAAGTATAAATGATTTAAAAAACAAAATAGGTGAATTCATAAAGGGATTAGCTCCACTAGAGGATATTAAATCTCAGAGTCCAAATATGATGGAAAACATTAAACTCATTCTCATTTTTAATGAGAAGAGGAATTTTTTTTTTTTTTAATAAGCCCATTTTCTTAGTGTAACTGAACCAGTTTGGTTCAGTTCAAGGTGATTAATTCTGTATAATAGATATAAATTATTACAGACTTATGAAGGAAAAACTAAAAGAGAACGAGGAGAGAGTCGTGTACGAATATGGAAGAAGTAATTTTGGATACCTTTAAATGAAAATGTCTGTATAAAGAGAAGACAGCATGCTATTATGGCTTATTACTTCACAGTGCTTCTGGGACACATTCCTTATGTGTCTGCATCCTGAATAAAAATCCTTTTCTGAATTTTGTAACAAGGATTTCGCAGATGAATATGGCAGCTATAGTCATTATATTGACTATTTACATAACATAATTTCTTTGGGTTTGCCTTATAAATGCTGCAAATCAGTAGGCTCCCCTTTCCTCAGGGATTCCTTCTCTTTTCATCTTGTACTGCAGTTGCGGTGAGCACCTGAAGTGTGCAAGTGCACTGAGAGGGAATGAGCAGGAGAAGGCTGATGGCCTACCAAGTAAGGTACTGCAGGAGGCCTGAATCACAAATAGGCTTTTTCTCTATTTTGTGACATTCTGTGTGCCTTTGTGAGTTGGGAATGGAAGCAGTGTTGACTGAAAACTACTTGAGCATTTATAATGCACAGGGCAGCTGTGACAATGTGTTTATAGTAACTATCCTGTAAAACAATATGATCTCATAGAAATGTGTAATCAGACAGATGAGAAGTTCAGTTTTAAACAACTGGCATTTTAGAAAGAGCAATGGAGTTTCTTGGCCTTGCATATGTTTATCTAAAGACCTTGTAGCAAAATTTTTATTTCTGATATTTTTCTGTAGGTTTTGAGGTTTATGTTTTTCTTCTTGCATTTATGTATACTTATTCCTTCTAACTTCTGCTGTATCTTCTTTTTTTTTAAAAAAATGTTTTACTTAGGTGATAAGTAAACAAGATAGGAAGGATCCTTTTATCCAGTTCAGTAATTAATATAATGTAAAAAGAATCACCTGGGAAACTAAGGCCATCTTTAATCGTTCAAGTAGAGGAGAGGATTCCTTTGATATCAGTGTCTGTAGCAAGCCTAGTGGTCACTTCTAGCTAATATGTCTTTGTTAAGTCATACCTTTGCAAGACAAAATGTACACATCTTTTCTCAAAAACCTTTTGAAATAAATGAGATGACTTAATTTTGTTTCAGTGAGCTCTATATTTGTCATAAATTTCTATTAAAATATCAGCACCATGTTCCTTGCATATTATCTGGGTGTTTGTTACCTCTTTCAGTGTGTTTGTGTTATTCCCAATATTGAAATCCACACTATAAAAAATGGTATAATGATGCTAAAATGCTGCTTTAGTCTGACATTTTGTTATTCACTGCAGCTATAACAAATGTATAGAAACAGCTGCTCCTCTTTTGAAAGCATGTGTTTACACTTTCTATGTTAGTTTTGCATGTCAGCTCTACAGAAAATCAGCTATTGGATTGATTCCTTTTTCACAAAGTAGTCACAGAATCCCTACCTAATATTCTTCATGCCAGAGTATTTGACATAATACAACCTCGTTTATGGATCAGGGGCTAATTCCATTACAGATGTACTGCTCCTTATCTTGGGGTTGGGATGTATTGTGTTGTCATGCTCTTATAGCATAGGACATTTCATTACATAAGGTAATGTAAAATACTCATCTGATGTCCAGGCTGAGGTGTAGATGTAGTGCATAAGATGTATTGATAATAATGGAGAATTTGTAGCCAATGCAAAATATGACATGTAATTAGATTCTAAAATATAGAATGTACATTTAAAAATATATTTATTAGATTCTGTCTTCTTCTAAGCCTGTTATTAATACTTTTGGTTCTAATGTTACTTAAAAGATACATGTTGGATGCCTAAACATCAGATTTTTTTTGAATACTTACAAACTTTCATATTTGAAAAAAATAATCTCAGTTCAATTCCTTCAAAGACAGTAGGGCCACATCAGGAATTAATTTTATTTATTTTTGTAGTGGTTTCAATATCAGAAACAAAAGATGTTTTGGGATGAAAGCTGGATTATAGACTTCACCTGCATCAAACAAGGTTAGTAATTTGTCATTTTAATACTATGACATCGTCGTAATGATGACTGATAATATGACGAGATTTGGAAACAGACAGTATGTCTCATCTGGACAGAGCTGTCCAGAGATACCATAGTAGCCGAAATGTAGAGTTATTCTAAATGGAAACACTTCAGCTGTGCTGTACACAGGGTATGTAGCCTGTACTGTGAAAAATTATTTTTTCAAGTTAACTCCTTTTTTTTTTTTTTTTTTTTTTTTTTTTTCATATATATGTATATATACACTCTTATTCTCAAGTTACCTCAGGGATCTCTATTGGAAATCTGTGTGGAATGCTGTAGAAAGGGTCCCAATGTCAATGCAACTTTGAACTGTGTATGGATAATACTATGGTGTGGGAACATAACAGTCCTGATGCAAGGTAAGATGCTGAACTTCCTCAGCAACACTTTATTGGATACTAATACTAGGGAGAGTTGAGAGGTTTCAGCAAGGCTGAGACTAATTGGCTAAAACTGTTTTTTAATTTGAAATGGTGAATTGATATGTAATTCACTGAATTTATTTTCAAATCCATTTTGTTACCTTGAGCTGTGTAAGAAACATACATTGAGATCACTGATTTTATTTTTATTTTTCATCTGACTGTATTGTTGCTCTTAACTGACTTCCCTCTGGTGTCAGAATCACTTGCCACATCCCTGTACTTTACAGTCTTCTAAGAGCTCCAAGTAGACTCATTAAAGTATGGCACAGAGCTTGCTCTGCTTCCCTGGGTTCTGTCCTTGGCATCTGAGTAACAGCAAGGGCTAATCACCCCAAGAGCAGAAAAACAAAACCTGCATCAAATCCTGGGCTAGTGGGCAGGTTCTCTAGCAGTGAATCACCTCTGGAACTTCTTTTTATGCAGCAGTCACATTCCAAGCAATAGCTTTCTGTCTTAAGTGTTAACAAGACCAGCCAAGATGCAAAGATTTGGAGAATTCCCTGTGTTTGTCTGCCTCTTGAATCTCTACTTTGGCAATATGCATCTTCAGGTGCCTTTTCTCATCCCACACCCAATTTAGATCGCATAGTATGGACAGCAACAGGAAGCATGATGAGTGCTCCCCCAGCACCCAGTGACTCCAGTGCCAGCTGCATCACTGCTCTGAGCTCCTGCACAGCAGCTGCTAACGTGTCCAGGAAACAGCACTTCACCCAGACTGGGAGATAGTAAGTCAATATATTACTCATTTACTGCAGTACCTATTATACCATGGTTTCACCTTGCTTTCTGGTTCTTGCAACTTTACTGTTGATAGGTAGTGCAAAAGTTTGCTTTTTTCCTGTTAGGGCAAATCCAGTAAATATCATCATCTAACTTCTGTACCACATACTAGCTGTGGAATGTCTTATATGCCAGGCTTCTGTTTTGGTTGTGATTTCTCCTCTTCTCTTGAGGACTTGTTAAAAGGCTTTGGCTGCGTAACATGTCTTGCAGCCGTTAATGAATGGCCCTTACTGTTGAAATATATTTGGAACCAAGTCTTTTATGCAGCCCTTTTTCTAAAATGCAGGTAGAGCACATCTAGGTTCTTTGCACTAAAGAGTGGCATCCTATACAGTAGCACATTAGAAATCTTGTCTTTAAACCAGCTGACATGACTGAAGATATTCATCTCTGGATCTCATTATAAAGGTGCATTACATAACTATATGGGGAAACAGTATAGCCATATCCTACTATCTGGAAAGCAATTCTTCCCATAAAAATACTATAATTAGGGGAAAGAGGTGGCATATGTGCAAAGTTGGAAGTAATACCTACCATTTGAATACACAGGGCAGGATCTGTGCTTTGCAGATAGAGGAGCTTAGAATCAGCTAAAAGCAGCTGCCTTTTCAGCATAGATCACTGTTCTGGAAAATCAAAGCCACTTCATTGATGAGACTGTGTGTCCAGCATAGATCATTTACTGTGAGCAATTTTGCTACTTCTTTCTGAATTATAACACTTTTAACATCATAATCTTCCTCAGATGAATCAAGGTCAAACATGTTCATCAAGGGTGAAAGATGTATGAAGGGGGCATTCAGTCTCATTGGCAAAGCATCCATACCTACTACACTACAGACACCATACTTTGTATTTATATGGTGGGTATCACTTAAATTCCTGCATGTATCTCCAATGGATTCTTTTATTATTCCAAGGAAAATTGCTTTGCTGTCTATCACACTCAGCTGCTTCATTGCTGAGAATTCCTCATCCCATGAGAACAAAAGGATGTTAAATATCAGTGGTGGATCTCCAAAACAGTAGACAGAAGCGATGGATAACAGGGATGTTGCTCTATGTGTTTCAGTAGTTCTGACATTTCTTTTGCTGCTACTCCATCACCCAACTACCTCAACTGACTCTAACTGTCTCACGTTCCAAATGTCATCCACAGACCAAGGATGCTCTTTAATAAAATCACTAATGCTTCCCTTACCATAGAAACAGGGCCCTGTCACCTGTCGTGTACTCAGATTCAGAATTACACCCACATATGGACATGCTTAACTTCTGTGCCTTGTTTCTAGAGATGTAGAAGAAATATCCAGTACATTTTTGTAGTCTGTCTGTCTTATGAAGCTGGCCTAAAACTCTGTGAACAGCATTTCATTCTGTTTCAGCGATGGTAGAACAGTGGCCATAAAGAAAATAATGAAGAAGGCATTCACGCTGTCCAAATCCATACGTAAAGAAGTAAAGCAAGTAAGGTAAGAAGTGAAGCATGAGAAGGGTATGTTGTTCCATTTTTACACTGGTTCTTTAGGGGTTAAAATCTGTCAAAATCTCTAAATTCATATTCCTCTTTCTTTCAAACTTTGACACCAGATCAAAATCTCATACCTGTTTTACTTTTCTCTCTACATCATGAAGCAGAGCACTTGGATTTACAGTTACTCTACAAACAGGAGGGACAACCATGAAAATTGCTGGTGTGATGTGATTTGTGTTGATTTTCACAGGGAACTTGACCATCCCAATCTCTGCAAATTCATTGGAGGTTGTATAGAGGTTCCAAATGTTGCCATTGTGACAGAGTACTGCCCCAAAGGCAGCCTGTGTGATGTTCTGCTCAATGAAGACATTCCTCTGAACTGGGGCTTCAGGTAGAAAAACACTTTTGAAAAGCTAAATGACACAAACTGTGCTATGTGCTGTTTAAGGCAAGATGTTAATTTTAGTTAAAGTCCCTCGGTAGACAGGCCAGCACTGTGATATGAAGAAAATGAAGAAGAAAGAAAGTGAATTCTAATATCCAGCCCAACTTATCTTGTGGATTTTTGAGCAATCATACATTTAGTACTGGTCATGCTGAGCCAAAGAGTTTTCAACCCACCTCTAGTTATACTGCAAAACTAGTTTTAAACATTTTTTCCCATGTAACTTCATTTTGTTCCCAAATATTTGGGGCATCCCCATTTAATTAAAAATCACTGCCATCTCTGTTTGTGAAGACGTATTTGTGAAATGATTAGCATACCTACAAACACTTTATTATATTTACCAATACAGAAAATGAGCTCACATTGTCAATGAAACTTCCACAGAGGCAATGACATTGTTCTATGAAAAAAAATCTTCTTGGCACACTCTACTTTTGCCTTCAGCAAAGAAAAAGATTGTAAGGGAGGAAACTGCAAATAGAGTGAGAAAGTTAACAAAAAATTGTTTCTCTTGTAAGTATTTGAAAGCACTCTCAAGGATACAAAGATGCTGAGAATTTTTAGAAGAAATTCAACTGTCTTGAAAGAGGCTAAAGGCCTTTGGACTTAAGACAACTGAGAGGGAGTTAAGGGCTTTCAACAAACCACCTAAAGTTTTTTTTTTTGAAAAATGAGCATGGGGACACAAATTGAAAGCTATTGCCGCCATAGGAAAACTTTCTGTCAACTTCAGTAGGCTTTGGAGCCACTCTTGAGTGAAGGTTTAGTGGAAATACTTGCTCACTGATTATTGTCTTTCAGGTTTTCATTTGCTACTGATATTGCGCAAGGAATGGCCTATCTTCACCACCACAAAATGTATCATGGACGGTTGAAGTCTAGTAACTGTGTGATAGATGACCGATGGGTTTGTAAAATTGCAGGTAAAGAGAAAATAAGAAACAAAATTTCAAAACTGTCCAGCTAACACACTAATGTATATGGATTTCATACTCAACATTCTTCCCAAGCACTACCATGTCGACGTTTCGTGTGGAAATTCTGACTGTACCAGCCTTCACCAGAAGTGTCCAATGCTGAAGCAAGTTTCATGTTACATTATCATGTCAATTCATTTAATGTGTGTTACTGATGCACACATCAGATCTCACAAGTGATAGAGTCCATCAACATCAGTCTGAGCAGAAACTCTCTCATTGTCAGTTTTGATACAGAGAGAAAACCTGATTTACAATTCTGTAAAGACATGGAATAATGCTGGCTGGTAAACACCGGGTAGTTTAATGGAGAAAAGCAGACTCTTCTCAGAGCTTTTCAGTCCTGTACACAAAACTGAATTGTATTCTCCCAGAGACAGAGCTACACATCTAGTCTGCTCCTGGTACAAGAAGACAGCCTGTGGGGACAGGAAACCCACCTGAGAGTCTAGTTTAGTTTGCAGCTGCCAAAGGGAGTGAAAGCAATGATCATCTCTTCTACTTCCCCCACAAAGTAGTTATAACACTCTATAACCCACAATGATCTTAAAAAACAGCAGCAACAGATCTGTCTTTCAGTGGTTCATCCTATGACTAAGGCTCCTACACAGGGCCATGCCGGCATCTCCAACTCATTTAGTATCCTGCTGCCTTCAGAACAGCCTACTTTGCTTAGGGCCTGTTTTGGAGAAAAGCATAAAAAATTGAGATAGTTGGATTACATCAACTGCATCACCTTACCACAGCTCCTCTGAATTAAATGGGGTACCTGTGAAATTGTTCAGAAGTTAACTGCTAGCAATGTAGAGACTGCAAATATTTATGGTTTATCTGGATGTGATAATGTTAAACAAACCTCACAAATAACCAGTGGGGAAGCTATCGGAAAAACTACAATGATCTCCAACATAAAGAATGAATCTCTAGGACCATCTTAATTAGAGGTCACTCCAGGCAAAACCAGACATCTGCATTCTGCCTTCCCATACACTCAGCAGAGTGCTGTTCATATGAGAAAGAAAGCTGCAGTCGGTTGGCTTTTTCTCCTCTCTGATACTGTCACATGCTGAGAATCAGTTCTATGTTAGGCTAAAAGTATAGCTGCAAAGATGTTTCACACTTATGCTGCCTTTGTTCTGAACCTAGTGGTGTGCAGGTAAAGCCCACCATTTGATTTTCAGTAGTTCTAGACTGTCTAACTTGTAATTATAACACCACAGATAAGGATCAGGGGATGTGTGGGACAGAAACCTGCATTCTTGCACTGAAGTTAGCCTATTCTCTGAATATAATTTTATAAAATCATAAAATTATTCTGTTTGGAAGGGTTCAACTTCCCTGCTGTCATGTGGTCTCACCCAAATACTCAGTTTTCAGATCCTGTATTTGCAATTGGTTTAGAGGAACAAGACCACCAGACACACACTATTTTTAGACTAAGTTTTGTATTTCATATAGGAAAGATTAATTCCTTTAGACTAGTTGTGTTACTGTCTAGTAATGCACATGTTTCAGAGAAGTACCCATGGAATAGTTTGCTTCCTGTTTTCTTCCATGTTAGATTATGGCTTGCAGTCATACAGAAAAGAAGATTCTCTTGAAGGATCAAGCTCTTACCAGCAGCACTTGAAACAGATTTACACATCTCCTGAAATCCATTCCCTTTCAGACTTTGAACCCAATTCTACAACAGACATCTACAGGTAGTTAACTCTTCCTCTTTCTTGCACTGAATAATCTCATTTTAAATTGAATATTCTTTAATAACAATGAGGCGCAGCATATTTCTGTGGTCACACAAGGTATGTTTGACTGTATTTTTTAAAGGATTGATCCTGGAATACAGAACAGCATAGATATTACAGGATCTTTTCTTTCAAGGTAGATAACCAAATACAGAATTCACTGATATTGTATAAATGCAGAGTTGGTCTAATGATTTATAAGGAGTTACTCTGCACTGGTAGACAAAAAGGTATAAAGATCTGCTATTATCTAGTAATCTTTTCTTGTTGCTGTTTCTTATGAAAAACTAGATTATTTTCAGTAATGGCAATACATTAAAAGTTAGGAGCATCAATCTTCCAGGATGTCATAATGCACATATTCATCCCATAATTCTATAACTAATGTCAATACATTATTCTGCTGCATATACACAGTGACATTATGTGGTTTGCCAAGAAAAATTAGAGTTAGGAAAAGGAAATAGATACACTAGTGAATAGCTCCATCCCTTTCCTTTCAAAAGTTCTTATAAGAGATCACTTTGCTTATTTGGCTATCAGGTTTAGCCTTGCCAGTGATAGATAGCTTCTATCCAACCAGATAAACAGGATTACAACTGAATTTTCAGAGAATAATAATCCAGTGAAAAAGACGTTGAACTACTTTATTTTAAAAATTAGTTATATTTCTTGGTTCTCACATGAGAAATTATTGTGTTCTTGTTGTAGTCTATTTCATAACAATGATACTTCCTCTGTCTGCTTATTTCCAGTAGTTTGCTGAAAGCATTTGAGAGGGGAAAATGCAGAATGATACTACAAGATGTTTTGTGACCCTTTTCTCTTACTTTTTCTTGCCACATTCCCAGCCCAGCAGAAGTCTTCTATTTCTTGGTAACTTTGGTAGCTGGCAGAATGCAAAGAACTGGAGTTCAGTTAGAGATTAAAATGCTGATAGTGCAAAACAATTGATCAGAAGAAGGCACAGTTATTAACACTGTTTATTAACATTTACCAAAGAGTAGCTATTACTGCCTTTTATCAAAAGCTTTGAATTTTACTCTGGCCTGCAATAGGCCACAACAAATGCTTACGACCATAAGTGACTGTTATAGGACTTTTATTGAAAAATTAGTTGCAGAAACAGAAAATATTGTTTAAATCTTGCTCTTTTTTCAATTAGGATTAATTAAAAATTATATGGACAATCATGAAAACATTATTTTATATATAAAATTAACTGGATTAATACACATTATTCCCTTGTAAAGAAATGTATGCATATAAAATGTGCTAGAACATTATTAATTGTAATCCATTCTACTACATTATATAAGCAAGAATTTGAGGACTCAGTAGTATTTATGTCTACAGTCTTAAACATGCCCTTAGTATTTGCTTCCGAATAGCTCAGCTAAAGGCAATTTGTCACTGTGTTGGTATTTCTGGCTACTGTCATTTGTCCTGTGTTGGTCTTCACTTTTTCAACATGGACTGGTCTTAGAAAATACTGTGCTCCAATTAATCAGTAATTTTAGAATTGTCTTACAAATTAGAGTTTATCATTGCCTCACAGCCAAAATGCATTGCAGAAAATGTTTCCTTGGTGCTTCTCTGGCTCACAGATTGCCCCTGTTCAGGTTAGATATCATTATTTGACTTCACAGGACACTTGGTCTCCTGAAGCTGTTGCTTGCCAAGGACTCCCCTTAAAATAGTTCTAAGGTACTAAGAGCTGATCTGCTCATATCATAAATGACTACAATGAACTTTTGACAGATTCCGTGAATGCTTGCTAAATCTGTCAAAATCTTGTCTTCTTTTGTTGTACTGCAGTTAATCCTTTCTTGGTAAAAAAGGAAAAAAAGTAAGAGATGAAATCACAAAAGGAAGAAGAGCAATGTGCAGTCAGGAAAGAAAGGTAGAGATGTACCCTGTAGCATTAAAAGGGTTGTCTTTTTAACTGTGCTATTCTTCAGAACCTGCATTTTAACAAAGTTTGTGTTTGATTATGTGAGCAGGTGCTAAACCTTCCTGATACATGTATGTGGGTTCGCTGGCCAGGGAGCAGTGTCCCAGTCTTGAAATCCTGTTTTTATCTGTGCAAAAATTCCATTTATGTTTCTGAAGGTATGGCCCAAATAAAAAATGAGTAGAAACTGCAGGAGTGGGACTTGTAATTTTGTGTGCTCTTACAGATTAATCACTCACTTTTAAAGTTCTCCAGGGAATGTGTTGGTCAGATGGGAAAGCTAAAATTGAAATGAGAACAGGAACATGAAAGCAGCTCCTGTTTGAGCTGAAGAGGCTGTTTCCAGTCACAGTTTTTCCTAGATGGCTCCTCTTGATTTGTAATTCCTATATGAATTTCAGTATCCACTGCGTTAGGACTTTTTTGAGCTGTGCTGCTGAAGCTGAATGACATTGATACTGCTTTATCGGAATATCATCATCTAACTACTCTCCTTGAAAATCTATTTCAGCTTTGCTGTGTCACCAGGACTGGTATTCCTTTCTTCTACCAAATCACACCAAAATTGAGATAAAAATCTCATCAGATTAATTTCTACATTATTCAGCATGGTTTATATGCATTCTTTTAATAGGCAGTGGTGATCCTCTGAAAGATAGACATACCCCTTTATACAGCTAGAATGCCTTACGGGACAGAGCAACCATTAGCAATACAACAGATGGAAGACCAATATTCCCCATACAAATAAAATTTATCAAGTAGATGCATGTGGGGAGTTAATTATTACACAGTTTCAATACATAAATTGGCAGAAGCATCTTTATCTCTATTGCTGGCTGGAGGGTGTGCTGGCTTCTTAGAGATCACTGTTCTAAGAGATCTCTAGTGAGTTCAATAAGGAGACTGAACACCCAGTTGTTACCCCATTTTTTCCATTCTTCACCCCTGATGAATGTGTTTGACACATTCATTTGTTCATCTGAGGAAGATGATGATGATAATAAAAATGTAATTCAGAAAGAATGAACAAAAATGCTTACTATAAAAGATACTGTAAAAAAGACTCTGGACACAATGTCTCATCATTGACTTCATGGAGATTTTTCAGAACCGTGATCTATGCTGGAAGAAAGTCACGACTCCAGCTGATGATCCTGATGAACCTGCTCCTGCCCCTTGATTACAGCACAAACCTGTCATATGTGTTCAATTGGTAGATATCATGTAAGTCCCTGCACATATCCCCTCTGGATTCCATTAATTCTTCCAGAGAAAATTGCTTTCCTGTCCATCAAACTCAAATGCTTCATCTCTGAGTCTGAAAACTGTGAGGAGAGCCTGCTATGAAATGATCAGTGACAGATCTCTGAAAATGTAGTAATAGATAACAGCCTGTTGCTGTTACTCTCCATTTTGGGATACTGGTCTGTCAGTCATAAAATGGGGAAGAATAAGAAAACATGGAAGAAACAAATCACTAACTCCATTAGCTGTTACTTCATTAAGGTTTCGGTTTGCTTTTATTCTGCAGTTATGGCATCATTTTACTAGAAATTGCCACAAGAAGTGACCCTATGCCAGTAAGTAAAGATGAACTTTTTGAACTTTGCATGACAACTTTGATTCTGTTTCTGCTGAAAATACAAACCAAATTCTGAGTAACTGCACATTTGATTTATTTTTTGATCATGCATTTTTCTCTGGATTTGGTGGGTGCAAGTTCAGTTCCAATGGAACATGCAATCAGGGCTTCCTAATGCATCTGCTAGTCTTCCCTTCAGGACTTTGAAGAAAAGTGTATGACAAAAGTAATGTACTCCAAAATGGCCTTTTGGTTAGCTCTGTGAGACTTAATGGCAGAGGGGCAGAGAGGAAGGTATGCCAAAACATTTTCCTTTTTCTCCTGTTGTTCCTTCCCTCTCCTGCTATGCACAGGCCTCTTCAGTGGAGTCTTGCAGTGATCAGAATATGATAGAAGATCAAATGAGCTCCTTTCCATAAGGAAAATGTGTTTGCATATGTCTTCTGATCGGTGCTAAATGGCAAACACAATAAATGCACCTTAAAATTGAAACCAGATGTTCTGGATATGTACCCATATTCTATCTGAAATAATCTGCTTAACAAGAATTGTAACAATGAAGACCTGAAACTGCCATTCTTACATTTCTGACAGTTTGTGATAATAGACCAATGTAGGCCTTGTGTTTTCTCCAACTTTTTCCAGTATCTTGCCAGGTATTAATTTGTTTCAGGAGTTGTTTACCTCATATAAACACTGACACTAAAGTCTTTCAGCCATGAAAACTATTTTAGACAAGGTCACCCAGTTTAGACCATTGTTTGGTTTTGGTTGGTTTTTTGTTTGTTTGTTTGTTTGTTTTTTCCCCCTGTACTCTCATATAAGAAGCTGATCTGGAAGTTATAGGGAAAACATTACAGAAGTAATGATGATCACAGTAATATATTTCAAATGGATGGTATGAAAAACACACCACTCGTTTCAACATTGTTTAATCCCCTTTTCTCTAGAATGATGATGTGCATTCAGCTGAATGTTCCTGGTGCCCACCTTTGGCAGAACTAATTTCAGGGAAGGCTGAGAATTCTTGCCCATGTCCCACAGAATACATAGAGGTAAGATAACAATATTGTTTATAAAAATTATTTATTGAAGTGAATTTAAGACATGTCACAGAAGTTTTATGGCAATATTACCTTTGATAAATATAAACAACCCAGAAGTCATGAAGTACATCTCAAATAAGGCACAATGAAATGCTTTCATAGCCTTAATAAAAAACCTGATATTCTGACAAATTGAAAGTTTCAGTTGTCCCCTCAAATTGTAAGTGTAATAAATGATGTTTTTAATATTCAATCATTGATTTTTGTGCATTTATTATAAAGTGTTAAGTTCCATGAATATTTTGTATTAGCAATGTCTATTTAGCTTACTGGCAAAGGACTTTCAAAGTATGAATTTGGTTTGATTCTCATGAAGAGGGTTTATGTATTCATGAAGCTCAATAAAACCTAATAAAACAAAGTACACCCTCTCCCAGTTCAATTAAATTGGAACAAGACTGTGGCATCTTTGTTTCAGTTAAGAGTTATCTAATTCACCTTTGGTGGTTTGTAGCAACCTAAATGTAACAAACTTCTCATAAACAGCACTGGATTTTAGTAGGGAGGTAACATTCTTAAGAAGTAGTTGAGTTTTTAATTTTTTGTGAATTTTGTGTACAGGCAAGTCCTCTGAAAACAGTATGTGACTCCAACAGTGTAACACTGTCTTAAAGCACAAGAGCTTAAGCAGTATTTGGCAGAAGGAATGTGTGCATCTAATTATTTCCCACAGCATGCTAATGTCCTTCATTCAGCATAAATCTGTAGAACTTCAGAGACCTCAGTATAGCTCTGCCACTTTTCACCAGTTGCAGATAGGGCTTCACATGCACACTTTCCACAGAGAAAATAGTGGTATTAATTAGAAACATTGCTTGCACTTGGAATACAAAAGGCTGTTTGCTTTTCCCTCTCTCTTTCCCTGCTTCAGTTAATCAGAAGGTGCAGAAAAAATAATCCAGCCCAAAGACCTACATTTGAACAAGTCAAGAAAATGTTGTACAAGATGAATCCTAATAAAGTTAGCCCTGTCGACATGATGATGACTCTGGTAAATTTAGTGTTTTAATCCAATCCAAGTCAATCTGCTTGCTTGCAATAACTTTCACCTCTATCCTTCAGGTTTGTGTTTTGATCTCATGCCTCTTCTTTGATGAGAAAAGCCGCATTTTTCGCTTCACTTCTAGCAGGCTGATTGTAGCTACAGTTCTGCTAGAGACCCAGTTTTCCTTCTCATTCCATTTCTGTCATTTTTTCTTGACTTTCTCAACTTCTTTGGGGCTGAACACTTTTGTTTCTTTCTTCAAATGTTGTTTGTTTTTTAATGACTTACAAGAAGCAATATTCCCCTTTACCAGTGTCTTGGTGGTGATCTTACAATACTGAGGATATAGAATCCCTCCATGCACAAATAGTATGCTTACAGATGCATTTTGAGCATCTTAAGCTCAGCAGCAAAGAGACTTCTGCCTTCAGATCCTGTTGCCTCACACAGAGCAAGGATGCAAAAAGCACAGCATAGCATAGCAGGATAGTTTATGAAACAGCATTTTAAGATTTTGATAAAAGATTGAGACTTAGATTCCATCAGTTTTGGTAACATATTTTAATACACGTCTGCAGCTTGGTCTCTGCATTGGATTTGACCCCAAATGTTTACATGGACTTTGAAGAGTCTGGAATTGGCCTCTGGCAATCTCTAAACCTAGAATCATAAATTTACATAGAAAGAAATCTGTTTGGTTTTTTATTTCATAAGAACAAATCAGGTATCTCAGACCTGAGCCTTTGCTTATCTTGTTTTCAAAGCAGAATCATTCCAATGCTTAAATCCTATCCAACTATTACCCTGTTTCAGTAAAAGGACTATTATATGTAATTCTCTATGTTATTTAGATGGAGAAATATAGCAAACATCTGGAGATAATGGTTTCTGAGAGAACCCAGGATTTAATGCATGAAAAACAGAAGACTGATCGTCTGTTGTATAGTAAGTTATATAGTAAAAATACTGGATATTCTTCTCAATAATAATTTGATTTTAACTGTCTAATTACAAACAGAAACCCTTTGATAGATAGTTGATTATTTAATAGATAACATGTATTTGTGAATTAATTAACATAATTGTTCTTTGCAAAGCTGGAAGGGTATTTATCTACTTTTCATAGTTTCCCCCTAAGAATCAGTGCACTCATCTGAGAGCTATGACTCCAGAATCTATAGTGCTCTCAGTTTAATATTGTTTGGCAGTCCTTCTATATAGTTATAAATATTGGGGAATTGCTTTTAGACTAAGGTTAGTTTTGATGGCAGTGTATCTTCTGGAATTCTGCAGGAAAAAAGGGATAAAGTGACAGGTATAACACATAGGAGAGAAAAAGGAAAAGACTGTGGAAGAGCAAGATAGCAGAGATAAAGAAGATAAAAAATATCAGAGAAGAGATAGTAAACAAACCTAACACAGGAAGAAAACACCAGCAAAGGCTTGAAAGGAAGTTAGTAATAACTAACCTTACTCTGACTTGAAATGTATAGATATTGGTTTGTTTGAACTAAAAGTTATGGGTCATCTGAAAAATCTGGTCTTGTTATCAGTGAGATTTACTGTGAATTTTCACATTACAGCAGAGCAGATTTTGATGCTAAAGAGTGCTTTCACCTTCAGAGTATTTCACATTTACAAACATTGCCTTCATACTTTCAAACAAACATGTTCTGCTTATTGTGTGCTTTTGTGCATGTCAAAAGAGTAACAATGCTCAACTTTTTACAACAGGTATGTTGCCGAAGCAAGTAGCAGATGATCTCAGGCAGGGAAAACATGCACAAGCTCAAAGTTACTTAAGTGCCACCATCTTTTTCAGGTAAACAAAAATGAATGATAAGACTAGAAGTGACTCCTACTGTAGAAACTTCTAGGCTCCTACTGGAGGTGAATCTTCTGAGCACAGAATTTCTATATAAACTGCTGTTTATCATACCAGGTGTCAACATTTGACTCTGCAAATGTCTTTCAAAATTCTCACACCTCTCCTTTTTTATAAAATATGAGATTACTGTTGAGTTCTAACACACAGCAGCACGTCGCTTTATGTATGCTACACACGCATGCATGTATGTTTCATAAAACAGGTCTAAGTAAAGGTTCCAGCATTTAGCTGTGTAAAGGAAACTTGTCTATCCTTAGAGTCCATGTAGATTTACAGTCTTTGACTTGTTATGTGTGCTTGAGGCAACATATAAATTTCATGTTTTCACTGGTCATAAATGGACAGATACCAAGTTCTCTTTTTTTTCATTTGTACATAACCCAAAATTGAAGACTACTTAGTCTGTCACAGGTAAAAGTCTAACTGTAAAAAATGGTTTAGTGAATTGGTAAGCAAAAAGGACAGTCAGTCCTTTTAAATGGAAGAAGTCTGTTTTCAATTTATATAGATGTTTGAAGACAAAACTATTCTGTAAAATCCTTAGCAAAAGAAATACTGGAAAAAAAAAGAAGGTTGATGTAATTCCACTGAGAAATTATTACTGTGTGTTTAGGATTAGCAATCTGCAATGTTTAGCAGTGGGTGAATATGTTGTTTTTGTTGTGTTTTAACAGTGACATTGTTGGCTTCACTCAGCTGTCCAGCAGCAGCACACCTTACCAAGTGGTAGATCTCTTGAACAAGCTTTATACTGCTTTTGATGAAATCATAGATAACTATGATGTCTATAAGGTGGAGACAATAGGAGATGCCTGTAAGTTCCTAAAGCTGTGGACAATGATGGAGCATGGGTATTTCATCAAGACAGAAACTGATCTGATGGAAAGCAACAACAGATAAAGGAGATTTGGAAAGCTTATTGTCACTGGGAATACCACACAAAACAATTAGGGGAGAAGTCCTAGCAAAGCCCCAGCACACTTTAGGAACATTTTCCTGCATGCCTATCATCATTTCTACAACTGATGAATGTTGTGGATGGAACAAATGAGTTGAATAAACTACCACTGTTGTTTTTTGGTTTCTATGACCTGCAAGGTCTGACTTCAAACCTTGGCACAGATTAATCCCAGTTGGCAACTTCTATTTCACAGGAACACAGCTGAAAAATTTACCTTCTGCATGGCAGCAGAGATTCCATTTCATTAGCTTTATTATCTCCCTCTTTTTCAAAGACCATGACAACATTCTGTCCCCTAATACTCTGTAGGGACTTGGCTGCCTCTTCTTTTTGGATTTTTAGGAAAACAGCTTTCTATTTACTACCATGGGAATCTGCTGGGATTGACTATGATTAAAACTGAGTTACATCAAAAACCTAGCAAAATCTACCAGGATTTCTGGATAAGACAGAGAGAAAATACTGTAACAGATGTGGGAAAAAAAAACCCACTCTTTTTTCTGTGGTATAGTTGGGCACATTCTGGAGCATAAAATTCCTGAACAAATGCACCTAAGGGATCCTGGAAGGACCTGTCTCTTGTCCTACACAGTAAGAGCCAGTGAGGGAAGCATGGGACAATGCCTAGTGGGAATCATTTGTCTCTCTTTATAATATCTGTCCAGAGACAAAAGGAATTGAACAGCCACTTTCCCGCTACCTGCTCACTTCAAGTATCCTCAACAGAGAGAGGGAGGAAGGGAGGAAATAGATCTTATGGAAAAGTAAGAAGGAAATCTGACATTTTTCGGAATTAGGGCAATTGCACACATTAGCTGTTTGCCTAGCCTTCATTTCATTCTGGCCTCCTCTGCCCAGCAGGCACAACTGTGCTGCAGGCTATGAAGGAATAGGGCTTTATTTTTTTCTAACTTGAGCAACATCCTTTCGTAAATCTCTGTGTAATGCCAAAGGCTAATGCAGTTGCATTCTTGTATTAAGATATGGTGGTGTCGGGAGTACCCAAAGAGAATGGGATCCTTCATGCCAGTGAGATCGCAAGCATGGCTTTAGACCTTCTGGATGTCTGCAAGACTTTTAAAATCCCACACAAGCCCAACACTCTCCTAAAGATAAGAGCAGGAATCCACTCAGGTATGTGGAGAGAGCTGCAAATGATTCCTCCTCTGGTTTAACAAGTGTTTATGTAGTGGCATTTCTTCTCAATTAAAAAGGAGGTTTGGCATGGGATAGAACACCTCATAGAAGTCATTTCAACAAAATAAATAATTGGACACCTGAAATATTGGGAACACAATGTGGAATAAAACATTGGAAACACTACACAGCCCCTGCCTTTGCTGATGTGAGTGAGAACTGCCATTCTGTGTCTGTTCCTTGTCCTTTTCAGCTGTTCTTTTCTCAAAACAGTGAGGTGCTTCTTGACTCTTTGATCTAGCCTTCAGTCTCAGACTCCCAGCTCCCTGATCTAAGCTGATGTGTGATTGCAACTGCATCTTAATAGACAGCCAGAGTTGGACATATGCTGTGCAGCCCGTCATCTGTGAATTATGTGGTTTAGATTGTCTCATCCAGAGATCATATCTTCTATATTTTAAATGCCCTAAGGCTGACATGAAGGAAGCAAAATGCTCATTTTCTGCCTTCAGCAGGAGCAGGTTACTTCCTGCCTTTCCATGTGCCTAGTGAGTGTTGTGTGCACATTCCTATCTCACTGCCCCTCAGAATATTCTGTTGTTGGGTTGAAACATGATTCTTCAGGTGCTTTCATTCATACACACTACCTCTATCCCATCATCACTTCCCCCACTGTTCTCTTTTGAGGCCATTTTGCAGTTCCCTCCATGGATCAAGAAGCCATCTGTATAACCCATATAAGACAATACTGACACTCAGTCTTTATCTTGTTAATGAGTGAGATGTCAGGTAACGTAGGAAGCAGTCATGGGGCTGTATGACTTACTATGTGATTTAAAACCACAAAACATCTTCTCTTTTCTTTAATAGGGGCAGTTGTAGCTGGAGTTGTTGGGACCAAAATGCCACGGTATTGTTTATTTGGAGATACTGTGAACACAGCTTCCAGGATGGAATCTACCAGTGAAGGTAACAAGGAACAAAACACAGATGTAGTTTTGACCATACCTTAAGGAGTTCTGGAAAAATGTTATGCTGAGTTTTGAGTCCTGTCTTGTTGCTGCAAATACTGTAAGGAACATATTGATTTCTGGGTTCAATCTGCCTATGGGCAAATTATGCCAGTGATATTCTCTGCAACATCTGTAATATAATCTGCTCATTCCCCAAGTCTCAGAGAGGGATTTTCATGGCTTTGAAGTTTTCTGCAATAAAAAAGGGTAAAAATCAGATAAAATGAGAGGTAACTGGATGTGTTCAGTGTTTCTATTCCTTTCTGTCACCCAGATGAATTTATAGTAAAAATACTTTCATTGCTTCTCTTTTTCACTGATATCTTTCTCTAATGGAGAATGCAAAAGATGGTAAGACACCATGGGAGCAATTCCTCTAATGGAGAATGCCAGAGGTGGTAGGACAGCATGGGAGCTGCGTCTGCCTTTAACCAGTATAGAAGGTTATGTATGTGTTCTCCAGTAAAGACATTAAATCATGGATATATCCTCACTTTTGTTTCTTCCTGGGAGATAACAGAGCCCCATGCATAGTTAACAAGCTTCCTCTTTAGCCTGTATGAGCATTTCAACTTCAGAAATATTTTAGCCTTATCTACAAGAACTGGGGGGAAAAAAAAAAAGGAGTGATTTAATATCAACAATGATGGCTTGGTTTTGTTTCTTTCATTCATGAAATGAAGCTGAATAGTTTAATGGCTCACATTGCAATGCTTTCTAAATGGATTTGAATTAGGCAAAATCCAAGGTGTTTTCAAGTTTAATTTAACTATAAAGTGATGCTTTCAACATCTATCATGATCCACTGAAAACGAGGCAGAAAGGCAGAGAAGCAGTATTACATGATGGCTTTGAAAGTTTAGCCTGGGAATTTGAGAACCAACCAGGATCCATTCTATCTCACCATTTTGTACATTTTTCCAAAGCAAATGCTAGCCTGACTGGAACAAATATAGCTTCATTTTCCTTCTGTCAGTCTCCCAGATAACTCCTTTTCTTTTCCTCCTTTCAGGCTCTTTGCAGGCTCTTTGTATCATCTAAAGTGCTTTAAAACTAATGCCTTCAAAATCTGCTTCCATCATTCTTTGTATTTTATCTTTTGTTCTGCATGCCTATTTCTTATATGGCCCATCAACACTATAAACTTCGGTATAAAGACAGAGCTTCTTATCTTTTAATCCTTTCTTTTATCTCCCTCCTTCTCTGCACATAAATCTGAGGGTCTCAAATTACAGTAACATGTTTTAACCCTAAAACTTTAAAATAGATTAATTAATTAATTAATTACTGACAATGTAAACTAAAATTGCTATCAGCTGGAATCTGAGTGCTAGTGTCATGTTCTCAAGCAGGATGACCAGGTAAAATATCGTGTATCTACTGGAAAGAATATTTCTGAAATACATATCTGTGTATGTTGAAACACGTATTTCCTGGTCTACGGGGAGTGTTTTGAGACTTTCAATGAAAAACATTTAAACAAACAAAACCCAAAAAATGGATATTACAAACCCATGATTTTCTGATATAAGAAAAATCAGTAAAATAATCTTCATCAGACCTACTATCATCTGGAATCTTTTTAAAAAAAAAAGCATAATGATTTACTTTGTGTCACAGAATGTTAATGGCAAAAAACCCTAGGGTTGTGGGTTTTTTTGGCAATTTTCCAAATTTTGGCAAAATTTTACTTTCTGGCAAAAGTAGGAGTATTCAGAAATTTTTCTATCTGCCCTCCTTCTTGGTCCTTCCTCCTTCATTTGCAAAAGGGCAAGACATCCAAGGTTTACATAAAGATAAATTCTTAACTAAGGAAAAATCACAGATAAAAAAAAAAAAAAACCACCTGGAATTATGGCAATATTTTATCTTTCCCCTGTTTTTATTTACAGGTTTAGAGGCAGAGCAAGGCAGTTTCTTTAATGTTTAGTCTTTGCTGAAAACTGCTGAAAACTTAAAGTGCTGACTCTTTATTGACCAGGATGGTCAATGGTTTTCTTTGAAAAATGAAACAGGCGCTCATCAGTAACTCCAGCCAGGCAGATATAAAGAGTAGACAAATAATATTAGATGCAAGATGTGAAGAGTAATGTTTGCTGCAGCCATGTATTTGTCCTGAGATGCTCTCACAAAGAGTCCAGGATAATGGAGCTTGTGTGCAAACATTTCAAATAACAGAGGAATGACAGCAAAGATATGAAAAAAGCAAGAGGGAGTCTTGAAGTCTTTGGCACACAGAGGGGGGACGCATCTGTCTTAGATGTTTAAATTGTTACAATAATATGACAATTGTCTCTCTTTCCAGCTCTTAAAATACAGTGCAGTTCAAGTGCATACCAGCTGTTGGAGCAGATCGGAGAGTATGTGTTAGTATGCCGTGGGAATTTACAAGTCAAGGTGTGTATGCAACATTTATATTCAGTTTTTCAGAGAGGAGAGTGTGAAAGTACTCTGGAGTCCCAGAATTTTAACCCATGCCATCCTCTATGTCTCAGAGTCCTTGGGTCAGACTATTTCCTGTCCCTAAGACAGAAGGCTCAGGTTTTAAAATAGTACTAATTTCATGGGCTTGTTCATGTGACAGCCCTGATAATTCAGACATGAAGGACTTAGCCAAACTTGGAAGTACTGCATGGCATGTCACTTTGTCATTAACTGCTTGAAATCAAAAAGGGAGATTCAGAGACATCATACATCATTGTAAGAGTTCCATAGGAAGACTAACATACTTCTGGATCCAGTTTTGAATGGGACTTCAAAGAATTGTTTTTATAGGTAGCGCTGCCACTATCTTTAAGGAAAAGTTTTATGCCTCAATTTTTCTGTATGTAAAATAGCTGACAGGCACATCAGTCTCCTTTTGGGACTTGATTTGGAATATTATTACACAAATGGTGGGTAGTATTATAACCCCATGACTCATTTTTTTCCTTAGGGGAAAGGAGACATGGTAACATACTGGCTTGAAGGTAAGAAAGCCTCTGCCACCCAGAAGAAAGTCACCAGCACTTCTGTGACTCTTCAAGACCCCAGCAGAGCCTCACTTAGTTTGATTCCAGGTGTCCTCCCCAGTGATCTTCCCCCAAGTACTGCTTACTAGCCACTCACTAACTCCAGCATCCATCCTGCTTTCAGTCTGTTAGGTCATCCTCCTGAGTTAGAAATTAAGATATAGTAAGACCCCTTTGGCCTTGTGGATGTATTAGCTCAGACTTTATTCACAGGTATCTCTCTCCCACCAGTGGCAGGAAAAATACAAAAAAGCAAAAACTCATCTGAGGAAAGATACATAATACTGGCCCACCAGCTAATAGGGCAGAAGGTGTTACATGTTGATTTGGTTTTGCTGGGTAATCCCCCGCCAGCAGCCTCCATCACTTCAAAACCAGCTGGCTGGGCATTCCAGCCTGCAAACTGCTCTTACAGGAAAGAAGGAGACAGTGTAGTGTTGCTATTTAGTGGTACGATAAACCTTGTGGGTGTAATTGGTTTTGTGCTGTGAAAGGGAAAAATGAGATGTATATTGTGTTAGAAAGCAAGTTCATTGAAAGAGGAGGGTGAAGCAGTGCAATCATAATGGATACAAATCGAAATGACAATTTGTGCTCCTGCTTCCATTCCATCTCCATCGCCTGGAGCATAGAAAGAAGAATTAAGAAGAAAGTCCAGGGTATTTCCACAGAGCCAACACTTAGTGACACTGTCATCTTGGTATAGAGATCTAAAAATCTTGGGAGAGAAGTGAAAGACACTGCATGATGTTGTTAAACAGAAGAGAGTCTGGTACAGCTGCTCTTGTCTTTGGCTGCTTTGGGATTTCTCTGACAAACTGCTCTTACCATTATATTATGGAGTTGCTTTGACTAAAGTGGCGGTGAACCTACTATTGCTGGCTAGCTGTCTGACTGTGAAATCAGGCAGCGCTCTGAGTCACTGTGTAATTTAGGACGCAATTTAGAAAAGGTCATTCCTGACCAAGCATTTCCTGTAAAGAGAGACCCTTTGTTACCAATGGCGTAATCTGTTGATGAGCACGGTTTTGTAAGCATTGCCGGTGTTGACTTTCTTTAAAGAAAAAGCATATGTATGGTTGACCCTGTTTATACTTTTTAGGGTTTTATTTTTGGCAATAAATTACCTTTAAGGACTAATCTTTTTTGAAGAGTTTAGCCAGTTCCAGTTGAATAGATTAACAAACAGTCTTAACAGAAATAGAGATGTGAAATAGAGGAAGTATGGCAAGAGTCACAGCAGTTCCACTATAATGTGAAATGGACTGGCCAAAGCTAACTCAGAGGAGCTGGAAAGGAATGATTATGAGTGACATAGCACCATTTACTCCTCCTTATTCTGCTCTCTTACCCTCCAGTCCTAGGTATTAAGTACAAAAAGATACATGTAGATTCAATTATTCTGTTATAAATTTCTATAGCTTAAGTGGCTGAGTAGTTGTCCGTGTTCCCATGTAGCCAGCATACTTCTAGTTCTGAATATGTGCTGTGTGATAGTAGAAGGAGAATCAGTCCTTCTTCAGCTTCTATGGGAACTAAATGCAGTGGTAACATTAGGTTTTTCAGAGATGCCTAATAGCGGCGGAAAGCTAAATCCTTCTGAATTATGGAAGACTTATTTGAGATCCACAGAAAATATCCTGAATGAATTTCTGAGTGAAATTCTGTCTCAGACGTCTGTGAGAATACTGCTACTTGGATGGGACCAGAATCTCAGCAACAGAGATATACATAGCTGATCTTGTCATGTGAGATCTCAACATAGAGTCCAGTGAAATTTTTAAAAACTAAAATTTTTGTTTTCCCATATTTTTCTTAATTTGAAAGATTCCTTTATCTATTTTTGAAATTCATATTAGTACATGATATTGTACAGTTACCTTATTTGTAAACTTAGCAAAATAAACTTTTCTGTGGGTTAGAACCCAGAGATGTTCTTCAATATTAACCATTTCCTTTATCCAAATGCTACCTAGATATTGTGAAACTCCCTGCTCTATTATAGTGCTGCATGATGTATTATACAGTTAATATTTTTCTTTTAATGAGTTAGCATTTCTTACATTTTTATTAGAATGGTGCATATCACAGGGCTTTTTATCAAATGTGTGAAAGCATGTGTTTTATTATATGTTAATCTGTAGCAGTACTTCAGTTTTAACTCTTGTGCTTTATTTTAGTGTTGGTTTTACAATTAAAAGCTTTAAAATGAGTGTCTGCTGAGTTTGAAGTCTTCTAAATAGAAATGAATGATGAGTGACCATTAGCAAGCTTGTTGGATTGACAGCCTTCACCATTAACATGCTCTTGGGTAGTATTCAACTTCTGACTTCAAGAGTCTTACAGTCTGGAGATTATCTACAGGATACCAGCCTGAAGAACACCAGTGTCATCTGTCAGCATACCTCTCCATTTTGTTCTTATCTCTTGATGCTATACTCAAAACGAGCATGTCCAGAATGAGAACTACATTATTTTCTAAGGACTGTTGAATCTGTGGTATCTCTCCTGAGACTTCAGGCAGTAGTCCTTATTAATGTCAGTTTGTCTGAAGGCTGTGATATGACTGTTCTTACTCCAGAAGATAAAAGAGTAATGAATGTTACAGATGCAAATGAAAGTGTCCTCAGTCAACTGAACTAAGATTTATCATCTCAGGCATCTTGAAAGATGTAGTCAATGACTACAGCCATATTTAATTGTCAACTACCAAAGCAGTAGGCAGGTTTCAGGAACATGAGCTCTATTTGGTTACACAGATTTTTGGTAGAAGTTAGATACAGTTCAACAATCATGAGATTGTATGACCCAGCAAATTCAGCAAAGTGGTTGCAGCATAAAGCTTGTGAGATGTGCTTTGCATTTACCTCCTGGGGATGGCATAGCAGCAGAGATCAGATCATTTTTTTCTGTATTGTTATGGCCACATAGGCATATGTATGTATAATATATCTATATATGTAATATATAGAGACAATTACATATTCTTATATATGTAAATCATGTCTGGCTATAAGTGTACAGGGAGAAGTTAGTGCAAATCAATGCCCAGTATAAGGACACGAAATTGTTGACATTTTTTGCCTCGGGTTTGAACTCTGCACGCATCTCAGTTTTTGAACCCACTGAAGGACCAGAGTGGTGCTCCACACAGAACTTCACATACAAGGGCAGGTGGTCTTTATAGCACTTGCAAAACAAAACGCTGTCCCATTTCACCACTCTAAATATATATCCTTGGGTGGGACAGAACCTGTGGCTGATGTTACTCCAAATTCAAATCTCCAGAGTCCTGTTACAGCTCCTGGTATCTCTCACTGCCCAGGAAACGTAGCAATGAAGCTTGTGGCTAACACTGTAGCTGTTGACTACAGTCCTGATAACCTTGCCAATGCAGGAAAGCATTTACCAGCTGGTAAAGCTGAAGTATGATAGCCAGCATAGTGCTCATCTGTGAGATGCTTTAAATCCACAGAGATTCACATTCCAGATGTGGAGTTAATCAGCTAATCTAGCAAGTATTCTTTTCTAGAATGGCACTCTGATAAATACATGATATATTCCCCCTTTCCTAGGAGATTATATCCCTACCAGAAAATGGGAAAGTAATTGTAATAGTAGGGCTGAAGATCTGATGGTGATAAGTACTTGACAGAGCACTTCAGTTCTTACTCAGTGGCCATTCATTGTCTACGGTCATGTAAAATAAAGAGGAGGATGCTAATACTGTACTGATGTGGTGATTTTATGGAAACATTGTGTATCTTGATTATTGTTTGTGGCAGCTCGATCTACATACAGGTGAGGACGCAGACAGGTACATTAAATAAATCACACAATGCAAAAACTGACTTATGAAAGTCTTTAATTAGATCGATAAACCTTCACTATATTGATTCAGTTTGAATGTTGAGGAATAGATTGAATAACCACAATATCTAAAAAAATCCCAACAAGTAAAAAACAATGGTTAATGTATTTCCAGGTGTAAAACTTAGATTTTATTCAAACCATTGGCACTGCAAAAAGACTGTTTTGCCACCGAAAAGTTAGTCTATCCCCTCGATTAGGTAGCAAACATCTTTTATTTAGCTTGTTATCGATATGTGCAGAGGGTCTCCGGTTCTTTTTGTGTAAACAGAAAAGTTATCTGCTTTTCCTACAGCTGATTAGTCAAACCAGAAAAATTAATATATTTAAAGAAAACTGGAATGAGATCGGGTGTTCTTTTGAAAGCAGTGCAAGGGCATAGCATGAGTGTTGAGGCTGACTGTGCAGTCAGAGGATGCAGCCTCTCTTGAAGATCTGTGTCTGAGTTTCTCCAGCATGTAGAATATCTCTCTCTGCCACCCCATGCAGACCCCCAAAAACCTATTAACAGCCCTTCCATTTGAATTTACCTCAATAGTAAGAGTCTTTGGTTTTTTAAAAGTGTCTTTCTGATGCTGTCCTTTCAGACCAGCAAAAAGACAAGACTATGCAAGATTATTCTGATTATTCACCAGCTGGCTACCATCTGCCTTTCAGCTAATGAGTACTCTCTCCTCCTAATTCCTGTCTGAATTTTCCCCTACTTCACACCAGTCAGTGTAAAACATTGAATTGTACTTTATTACATTATACATTGGAATTCAAATTCCAAATTGCCTTTGCAACCCATCCTCCAAAGAAAATAAGGAAAAATTCCCTCTCCTAATTTAAAATTTGCTAAAATGCATGTTCTGATATAGAGATATGAAACAACCAGTTTTAAATGTAAGAGTGGGGTTTGTGGAATTTGTTTAACTGGGAACCCTAATGACTGAAACCTTCCACCTTCCACGCTACCCCATATTCTGTATTTGTACCTCACCTTTCCACTGCACTACGTCTTAAGCTCATATGCATCCTTTTTGGAACTAATTTCTAGTGTCGGATCTAACAGTTTCCATACAGCACTAAGTTTGACCTTCAAGCTCCACATGAAATTTTTACCGCTACACCTTTGTGAATTTCATCTTGGATTTCAATGTCAACTGAATAGGTACTTCCTAGCCAGTGAATGCCAAATACGAAGTTACTGTAGTAGCATTCTTATGTTCATGAGTGCATGTGAGTATCGCTGTAATGATTATCACTACATTTCATAGAAAATACAGTGGTGTGCAAATAAGTTTTTTGATGTGATCTGAAAATGAATCAGCATTCCTGGCATCAGATTCCTACTACATACCAGGTTTTTTCTGTAGCTTTTTCATTCTGCCTCCAGGCAGAAAAACCCTCTCTGTCCCTACCTGAGGAGCCTGTTGAGGGTAAGCTACCAAAGAGAAGCTACACATATGGGAGAATGCACTAAACATATTACCTGTGTGACCAGAATATAGCATAGTTCATCTAACAAAGTAATGAAATACTGTCTGTGAAGCCTTTTTGGTCTCTTGCTTTCATGAATCATACCTATTTTTCTGTTCTTGCCTCACTAGAACAAAGTACAGAGCCAGATTTTCAAAGTATTTAATACTTTTCCACTCCCTAAGTAATGAAACTGTAGGATGGAGAAAAACTAGTCCTGAATATGTCAGAATTGACCAAGGGTTCAAGGCTTTTACCAACTGTTTAGGGAAATTCTGAATGCAAAACACTGGAAAATTTCTATTTGCAGTTGGTAAAGGAGCCAGGATTTCACAGGGGTTATAATGAAACAGTGCTGGAACATTTAAATTCTTTGTATCCTGTTGGAAGAACTGTGTGTCCTTAAAGAGCCACAACAGAGTTCTTAGAAAAATTCTCTTTTCCTAAAGGACAGAAAGACTTTTAAATTGCAACGGTAGGCTTGAGGCAGAAAATTTGGACAAGGTGTCAGAAAGACAGAGGGATTCTCTGAGAAGATCTCAAATTTTATATATTACTATGCTCGTGCATTTGGTGACCTGCTCTTGCAAACAAATATGTAATTTATATACACCTATGCATGGTGCAGCATTTGTAAGTGAAAACATTACACATAAACACTTCTGCATGCATCTGACAATAGGATAGTCAGGGATAATCTGTGCAATTGTTCTGAACAGAAAATAAACTGTCATTTAAAAAACTGTGATAGCTGGGTCTCCTTGCCTGCTAAAGACATACAGGGTCTGGAATTCCTCTACTGGGAGGACTGATAAATTAAAGGTAATGTTTACTGATGAAAGTTTGCCGGAGAGCATTAAAAGTAAATTCTAGATCTGCTCTCTGTGATGTTTCTAAAGGCCAGACATAAAATAGCACATAGCAGCAGAAGTAACAAACCTGCTGACAGTCATCCCAGTAGGGATTGCATGGTCAGACAGGCTGCAGAGTAGAAATGGGCTCAGCGTGAGCTGCTTTGCAGCTGGTGCTCCATGCTGTGTGTTAAGAATGTGCCAAGAAAACTCCTCTATTCTACATATTAGGAAACTCCTCTGCAAGTTTTAATATAATTGATATAAGAAACTTACACAGAAACCTTTCAAGACTCAGAAAATGTCCAATGTCAGAACTGTATCCTCTAGCAATAAGGTCTTACTGGCAATGTGTTGAGATTCAAGTTTCTGAGTGCAGATTGTGCTCTGCATCTAAATAGATCAGTTCTTAAATGCTCATGAAAATCAGGCTGGAAGTGCCTTTGAGGCCTGACAGTCACCCATCTCTCTAACCCATCTCTCCAGCACCTTTAGTGTGAAGGGTATTACATAGAGATGCAAAATCCCAGGCCTGTGCTGCAAGAACTGACAATTTAGTTGGATGTCTCAACATAACATTTTACATAGGATGGATGATGTAGGGTCAGATTCTACCACCGCAGTCAAGAGCAGGAGCTTACCCTTCAAACAGTCTGGTAGGTACCAGGAAAAATGCTGAGAGGAAGTCATAGTGGCTGTTACTCTGCTAATTACAACATAATAAAGAGTTACTGAAGCCAGGACTATGGATCGGATGAGGAGGAACTGACTGTGGAAGAGCACTACATTTTTGCAGAACAAAGATCAAGAGTACCATACCTGTCCCAAGGGACACACACCGTGAGCACAGTCACCTCCAAGTGATTCGGTTCCAGGCAGAAAAGCCCAGCTATTGTTTAGTGCTCGAGGAGGAAAAACTGCACAGATTAAAACTCCTAGTTTTCCGTTAAAGATGTTACAAGGATCATCTTGTATAATTGTAAAAATACTGTTTATGACAACAGAAATTTAAACAAAACAACACAAAATTGCCCTGTTTCTTAACAAAACAAAATTGTTTCTTAAAAGAAGCTAAACTCCACTGTAGCACTGTGACATGCTATTCTAAAAACAGATTTTTATATACATCAGGAACATCCTCTGAATGTCCAAATCACTGGTTTTCTTCAAATACTAATATATGTCCTGCTGTCCATACTGAGGACCAAGCAATATCTAGCAACTGACTTCAATGAGACCAGGCATTAACCCCACAAACAGAGCTCCATTACAACTGCACGCATTGTTTGGAGGATAGCATTGAGAAGACAATTGGGATGTTGATCCAGAGGTGTTTTAAAGGTAGCAAGGACAGAAAGAAGCTCTCATCTCTGGGTCATGGCTTGGAATCACACCCTAAGCTATAGTATTCTGAAGCCAAATTCAGACCCAGAACTAGAAGGTGCATCTGAAAAGCAACATGATTATTCCTGCTTATTCCAAGATCAGCACTGGTCCTACAAGTTCTAGTAACCATCAGAAGAGACCACAGGAGCGGATTAAAACAAAGCCCAAATAATTCCCTGGCCAGGACACAGTATCTGCATAAAAACCTTGAAGCTGCTACATGCCATCTTTGATCAAATAAGCAGTAGATTTCTACTGGCAAAACTACAGTGTATAAAGATGTTCACTTTATTTAAAAAAATAAAAAAACCCTTTCATTTTTAGATGGACAAATTCCTATTTTTAAAATGGTCACATTAATCCATTTCCATTTCATTCTCAGCTTAACTAGCAGAAAAGACAAGAAAAAATCTTAGAGAAAGATTTCAGAGACAGTACTAATATATTTTTTAACTTCAAATTCCCACATGTTGAATAAAAAACTTTAGTGGATTATGGTGGATTGGACTAGAAATATTGCTTAAACTTGCATTTTTTAATGAAATTTTACCTCAGCTAAATGAACAGAGGAAGGATGTTGCCTGTAAGTATCATGTTTTTAAACATACACTTTTTATATCTCCATGTTGTAGGGAATTTTTACTCCCGTTAAACTCTGTTTTAATACAAACATTCTCTTGCTTTTACACTAAGGATGGAATAAAGCACATGACTTAGATCTGCATGGCTGTATCTCAAGTTATGTATTTACCATTCCATTTCTCACTAGAGTTTGCTGTCTTGACTTGTAAAACCCCATATAACCTTTGACAGAGTACATCTAATCCTAGACAAAATGGAAAAACTCGACCTCTTCCTATATACATTTGCAGAACTGTACAAATCTAGGTTCCCGGCGGACTGACACCTTGCTCTGTTATGTGAGGCAGGCGATCGCTCACAACCCTGGCAAAGACAGTATGCAGCTACCTGGGAGCCCGTTTTCTCATGGTCAGTCTGATCTTCAGGGATGCTGAGCACCCACAGGCACACACTGAGAGCATCACCTGCTTCCCTTGGGAACACAAGGCAGTGACAGATCCTATTCCTCATCATGTTCATCAATAGTATTTCAGCTGTTAGCTTCAGAAGTCATGAAATAGGACTTCCCAGAGCCATCAAAAAGCTGCTTCTGTACATTGCAGAATAAGGTCCTGCAGTGACTAAGCCTTCAGGAGACAATCTGCCTGACAACGACAGAGTGCTTTTATGTGGAAGTGGGAGTTGAATATGTCAGGGAGAGATCTGTTTTTGTGGAATTCCTTTGCTCAGTGGATAGAACTTGGGCTGTACAGAGTATAAATGTTATTTATTCCCACAGTACTGTTGCTGCATGCCAGAGCAGCAAAGCTGCCTGTAACCACTTATTGAGAGGCTTTACCTGACTCAGAGTAGCCAGTATTTTTTAAATCTATCCTAATAGCATCCTGATGCCCCACCAAAGCCTGGCCAAAGCATTAACATCTTGTTTGGTCTAAAAGAAACAAAACTATTTTATGTAAAAATTTGTATTTCCTCCTCCTGGAAACCTCTTCAGAGACTGGTTGTCTATAAAGATTTGACGGAACTTTCCAAACAAACAAACTAGTGGATGCATAAAATTTCCATTCACTTTCCAAACAGTTCCATGGGTAGCAAAGAATGATTTGTTTCAACGGAAAATTCCTTGCCGCTTTCAACACAACATCTCAGGTTGCTACAAAAGAAAGGCTGGTTTTCTTCTTTCCTACCCAGGTAATTCAAGATACTTGTTTGGTACAACTTGACAAAAACATCTAAGTAAGAACAGTTATTAAGACTTCCATCACAGACAAACTTCTTGGAGTTGTGAGAGTTTAGTTACAGGAACTGCGACTTTGTCAGCTGCTAGCAAATTATTCTATGCTTTAGTAACCTTTTCCCTAAGAGCTTAACTCTTAGAATAGCTGCTTAGCATGCACATCTTATTATACCACATCTCTATTACCTACATAGTAAAGGCCACATAAGCTTTTTATACACAGCATGGAACATGCAGTCTACTGTTGGATGGAATAGCTAGGATTTGCGTTTCTATATGTAAGCTGCAACTCAGATTTTGAATGGTTAATCCTCATTACTCACTTCATATTTCTTATGCTATGTATCCATAAACTGTGACCAAAACCATGTCAGTCAGGTCGTCTGTTCCCTCACCCAGCAAAGCATGGCTTTGAGAGGACTGTAACCATTCATCACTCATAAAGAAACATCTGGGATTTTAGAAAAGGCACATGAAAATTACATTTTCAGAAAAGTCAGATTCACCTCTGAACACAACCCACAGAAGTCTATTCCTTAAGTGACTTGAGAGGTACTGCAATATATTTTAAGACCCTGAGTCCACTGACATGTGCTCCTAGTCTCTGCAAGAACTGTGCCATGATCATGTAATCTCCTTGTCAAGTAAGTTTATAAAATCTGTCAGAAACATTTCAGTGAACTCAATACCAGTGGGGAATTAAGCTAAAACCTGTACCTTGCATGCTATTGGTGATGGATTAACTTTTGAAAACTCCCTTGAGCCTATCTTGCTCCTAGGAGACTTTCAGAAGAGTCCACAGGGTCAGCACATCGATTCCTTAAAGCAGAGGAAAATAACATCCTGCCAGGAAGAAGGAAAATCTACACTCCCTAACATCAGCCAGCTATTAGTGCATGCTGACTTCTCTCAATCCCTCCCTAAGTGAAGTGACACTATTGTAAAGACCCATTCACCCATAGAGCACCACATTCTTTCCTACTGAAAGCTGAGAGTTTTGATTCAGCTCTTGATCTCACCTGAGAGCCACTGCTGCCCTCATGTCAGTGTGTCTATGGGCACGGGTGCAATAGGCAGCAAGAAAACAACAGGGAGGGAAAAAGAGAAAACGCAATTAAAATGTCATTTCATTTTTCCAAAACGAAGAATTGAATTCTTTAACCTTTAAACATGCTTGTTTACTTACAGAAGGTATTTCAGGCACAAAAGGTTTGAGTATCAGTCACATACCAGATTAAATTGTAATAGTATCAGGATTGTCCCATGCAGTGCAGACATCTATATTATCCCCTATCAAAAAGTTGAAGTTGTAGGTTTTGTATACATAGATATATATAAAGTATGCATCTTTCACACTATGGTCTCCTGGTCTGAGTTGACTCCGGTAGGGTTTATGTAACAACAGTATCTGTCATAAGGGCTGTTCTCCTTGTAAGAGCAGACAATGATACTATCTTTAGGAGCAACAAAAATGTTGTCTTCAATGTCAGGGCAAGCAGCACTGTCCCTGGTGGGAGAAGAGTTCTTCTTCTCCAAGGCACTGTATGTGGAGCCATCTCTTACGAACACATTCTCCGGCATCTCTGGGTAACAGGTCTCCAGGTATCTCAGCATCTCCTCTTGCTCCACCTTTCTAATGAGGCTCTTGCACTCTCCCATGGTGGTGGTGGTGCAGATGGACACAGAGTCCTCGCCCTGCAGCACTCTCCTGTCCTGGAATGCTTTCTTGGCCAGCTCGTCGCAACTGCCTCTGCCAGTCTCCAGGTCCGAGGGGGTCCTCAGCAGCTCCATGACATCCCTGTCTGTGACTTGCTTGCAGCACGGACACTTGTTCTTGGGCCATTTGGTGCAGCCGTCCGTCTTTCTGGTGAGGGCGATGGCAGCGATGCCGGGCAGGCAGATGGCCGGCCCGATGGCCAGCAATGGGATGTCTCCCAGGGTCTCTCCCTTGATGCCGGACACGGTGAACATGAAGCCGAACACCAGGAAGACGCTGACCAGAGCCACCACCAGCCCTGTCCGGGGGTTGATGTCGTCGGGTCTCATGGTCCGCCCCATGCTGCTGCCGTGCAGAAACCTCTTTCGTTGCCCGAAGCAGCCACTCGGGGCAGGGGGTGGGTGCTCCCCGGCAAGTGGCTGAAGTTTCACGGACAGTGAGGCGCCGAGATCCCCGACGGCCAACACCGCTCGGCTTCCCCTCGGCGGAGCCAGAGCCGCGGCCGGAGCGCGGGACAAGCGTGGAGACGGGCAGGAGACGGGGACCGGGACGGAGCGGCGGTCGGGAGCCGTCCTGCCTTCGCCCTCGCCGGCGCCACTCT